GAATGTATTTAGTCTTATACATACGCGAGGAAGGTAATAAAAAAAGAAAGAAGATGAGTTATTTTTTCTTTTATTATTTAGGAGCCGTGTGATATGAAAGTCTCTGCACAATTTTGCATGAGAGAAAGAAGTGAGGAATCATCTTTTAGACTCTGACTCTCCCATCCAGTTGTTGCTCTTCTTCCTGATACTTCAAAAATTGCTGCTTCAACTTCAGCCACTCGAATTTTTTATATTCCTTTTACTTCTCGTCAAACAAATGGCAACTTCTTTGAAAACCTATAAATTATCACCAGCCGCGAACACCCAAATCGGGAAACCAGACCACCCTTTTCCTGGACCATGACTGGACATGGTTTTGGGCCACGTTGGGCAAAATGAGGCCCTTTGGGCCTGTGCATCACAGGGGCCCACTTCTATACTAATATTTTCAACGGCCAGAAATGAATCGGTGGGACCCAGTGGCAAAATCAGCGGTGCCGTGACAGCTTAGAAAAACATAGAAAAAAAGCATCTAGCCGTCACACAGCTCTCACTTTTCGCGGGGCAAAACTTTTAGCGGGAAACGAATGAATCCAAATGTTGGAGATTTAAAAGGGCAAGTTCCCGCCAAAAGTGTCGGGCAATTCGGGCAGGCAGCAAGGCGGGTTGGGTCTCTCTCTCTCTTGGGACATTGGGGTTGGGCAAGGGCGGCCTGAAACCGCGTAGAAAAACAAAAGTCAGCTTGTGAGGGCCAGCGGGCCGGAGGGAACGACATTCGATGAAATTAATTAAAAATTTGCATTAAAAAATAATAAATTGTTAATTATGTAATTAGTAACCTTATTAATACACATATTAGGATTAGAATCTTAGATTAGTCTTAGGATTCCTTGGAAGGGCCACGTGTACGCGTTTACCACCTTTCTTACCCGTTCATTGGATTCCTTCCTAGTTTTACCAATGTATCTAACCTTTTGCCTTTCTCATTTCAAATTTAATAGTGCAATGCGACACCGACTCTAACCCTATCTCTACTCTCTTTTCCCGTTCGCCTTTCTCACGACAATCATTTAGATGCAACGAAGTGTATATCTTTATAATAACATATTTCTATTTTTACGAGACATTAAAAGATGAGTAGTATTATCCACACACTCTATATTAATTACTGTTCTTTGATCTTCTTCAATTCATTCAATTCGACAGTCGTTAGTACGTGAGAGGTAAACAAGAACGTATGGATAGCACAACCTTAGAAGAGATACATGCACACCAAAATATACACCTCTAACAAAGAAATAACCTGACTATTTTGGGTATATGTATATTTTGATGTCATCAGGCGTATGTATATCGTTTTTTAAGTATAAAACTAAATCACGCGATGAGTCTTATACTTACGGGGAGATATACTTTAGTAGCATGTGAAAAAATACCGTATCCAATACTTTTCTCTCTCTCTCTCTCTTTCTCTAGATTATCAGATAGAGCATATACTTAGTATAAGCATGTCTCTCTCGCTCAGATGTAGGCAATGTACTATTCGCATATATGTTACTATGATGCTTAATTAGTGCTATGTTTCACTAACTACCATGCATTATATTTTGGTATTTTCGTTGAAGCCCGCTTGGGTTATGTATTTGTTGAGGTTAAGGAAGATCTTTGTGATCTTGTGTCTCAGTAATGCATACATGCATGTGCACTCCTCCTATCAGTATGCATTTGATTAACATATTTGCTCTTTACTAATCAAATTTTAAAGTGCTCAAACCAACTTTGACCACCCTTGAAGCATGGTTCATGGAACAATTATTCTCTACTGTTCATAAACTATATTGAAGTGCGAACAGGGACAAATGGACATTGGGACAAATTAAGGTAGTCCTAATGGTCCCAGCATCACCTAGAGTTTCAGAAATATATATGTGAAGTTATACCGAGGACCTCTGAATGTTTGGTACAGATCTCTTTTGTGTCTATTTAGTGCTAATGTAATATCTTGACAGGTTGCTTCAAAATCACTCGACAAATGTTCTCTGTGTCACTCATTAGATTGCTTCAGTATATGTCAATATTTGTTGAAATGTGCGCAACATGATTGGCTGACGACAACCAAATGCCTCTGTGACCAAATTGAAATCTTTTTTTTGTGCGCTTCAACCTCTGTTTTTATCTAAAAACTTATATTTACCATGGAAACCCTTAGGTTCGAATCTTGAATCCGCTATTGAGTGCGAATCACTAATATATCAATAACTGAATTAATAACACCTCATAATGACATTATAGCAAATCTGAAACACTCTTAAAATCAACAAATCAAGTAATTATATCCTTGATCACGAGTCAATCCATCACTAATTTGACTATAACGAGAAGAAAAATAGTTTATTCTGGCTAGGAATACTTGAAAGTGAATTTAATGATGTTTCAAACCCTAATTAAGTAAGACATGAGGGAGAACAAAAAAAGGGTCAATCACTTTAATTAGTTGAATTGAAAGTTTGTGGATAAGCAACATTCATGTTGTCTTCTTCCAAGGAGACGATTTATATATATTTTGATTCCTCACAGTCCATTTCACCAGATTCTTGCCTGGTCAAGAAAACTATATTCCAAATTTGTGAACAGTTTTTATCTCTCAGAGATTTGCCAATTGCCCCATTTGAAAATGATTGTGTTGCCTTGGTGCTATGCCGTGGTAAAATACCAAAGGAAAAGACAATGACTGTCAATTACAATTTACAAGCAAGTTATGAATTTGAAACAAGCAGAGAAAAACTCTCATGTAGCCAGGATACATCCCCCCGTTTTTCTCTTTCAACCGATGAACGAGGAAAAGAGAGAGGGATATAGTCTAGGGATAGAGACGTATTTCTTGAACGAGTGACACATATTCTATTTTGACTTAGATTACAAATGCTAACGAGACACTAATCAAGGTTTTTTTTTTTAATTTGGGACAAAATGGTATTCTAATCTAATATAAATTAAAAAAAAAAAAGAAAAAAAAAAGGGGATTTGAACTCAATGTACTAATGTGAGAGCATATTGTTTGAACTTACTTAGCTACGTCCAGTCCCAAATATAAATGGAAACATTCTTGAGAATATGCAATCAAGTATTGCATCTTTGTAAAATTCAATAAAAAATAGAACCCAAAAAAGAAAAAAAATTAAAAGCAGAAAGTCCAAAATTAACAATCTGACTTCTCATTAGAAAACCCTAAAAATCAATCAACTTGATGTGGTATCCCCAATCTGACAAAAAATGGGACCTTAATTTTTACTAAAACTTTGCTGTACACTTTCTCTAAAGCCAAAAAAAAAACCCTAAAAGGATCCTAATCCCTAGAACCCCTTTGTCTAATCTTGCATAATCACTTGTTAAACAAATCCCTGATCATGCAAAACATATCCTCCCTACTCCATAAACAAATGCGTTGTTACCTGTTTTTTAATTCTTTTGCCAAAGAATAGCAGCTGGTAGTTTCGCAATCTACTTTTTCTAGGTCGAGAAGACTTCATCTTGACTTCTTCCTGGCTACCATCATATGATTCACCATCATTAAAAATCGAACCTGAGACGTGTCATGTGAAATACGGGTTTGAAATTCAATCCAACCACTATATCACCCCGTGATGTTTGGTTGTTACTTGTTTGGGGGCATGATAAACATGATTTAATCTTATCCAAAAACAGTACAACAAATTGACAACTTGTCTTTGTCGACTCATCAAGTGCCGCAATCACGTTTAACTTGAAGCTCTTCCAAACAAGGCCTTCCAGCCCCACATAGGATTTTAATCTATCACCTTGTACTGTATTGTGCTTTGTCTTTTAACAGTGAAAGAAGCATTTCAAGGAGCTAGGGTTTCCAGGTGAGGTGGGGACATGTGATTGGAAGATTAAGGCAGAGCGTGGAATTAAAAAGGTACGTGAGGTTGAAAAACAAGCATCCGTGCAGCGGCATCTCAGCCATGGAAAAAGATTCACTTTTACATGCATTGGCCAAACTCTAGGGTTTTCAGCCAGTTTTTTCTGGACATATTATCGAACATAAAACCGTAGTTTTAATAAAGAACAAACATCTTGTGCTGATTTAGCCGATAAGACAGCTAGACTTTGACAAGTGTATGGTAGGAATTATGAACCCTCAATGTATACAGTACATGTGTGTTTGTGAACTAAAAAGAGGAAGGTATTGGAGGCACAGGCTTAGCTACCTTCCTAGCTGTCTCTCAGTTCAACTCTAAATATCTCTGCTCAAATGCCAATCATTCATTTGTTTCTGTGGGGAGGGGGAGAGAGAGAGAGAGAGAGAGAGAGAGAGATGGAGGCACTATGGCAGCACCGCTCGTTTCAGCTTTACAAGATTCTGCATGTAAACCAGTGAGAGAGCTAACGGTTCTGGCCGTGGCAGGCAGCCAGATGCCATGTTTAAGCAATCTCAAGAACTACAGTGACTTGAATTTTTTGGAAACAATACATAACGAAAATATCCCTGAAGAAAAATTGGAATATTTGGTACAACTTTTTGAAATCTGAACTTTGAGTTCTTGTAATTAAAACCCAATTTATAAAATGTTTTCACTTGCATAGTACCAAACATGGATAATACCTTGGTTTTTCACCTGATGAATAAATGCTATTCAAAATTTTCAAAATTTTAGGTTTTCCAATCTTGAACTTTTAAAGATTTTACGATAATCTTCGACGACGGCAAGAATAAGCGTTTAGATTCTGCATAATGAATTATATATTTTTTAAATTAATTTTTAAATTAATCAGTATAGTCCGATGTACCAAACAAACTCAGAAACTGAAATATCCATTACATGGATGAACATCTCCTTTGAACAGAAGAGTTTCTGTTAACTGAGAGCGGTGCTGCAAAGAAAAGCAAGCACCCTTGCAAAGGCATCCAATTCCAATTTCCAAGACTAACAAAATAAGTCTCAACTCAAACTGCAAAATTATCAACTAAATTAGAAAAAATAAAAAACTTGTCAAAATATATGAACTCATCTTCACTATGGGAGTAAAAACTTGGCCTAAACGCTAATCTGGAAATAAACCATTACATAAAAGATTATTTCATCTTTGTACAACACAAGCACCTCTGCTTTGACGAGCGGCGTCAAGATTTAGAGAGACAGACCAACGACCCACTATTCAACACTAAAGGGGTGAAAACAAATAAATAAAGGTAAAAATCACAACAAAAACTCCTAATGTCTGCTCTAATTCTTTTGCTCTTGCAGCCTAAATATTCAACTCAGTTTGCTTTCTCAACATGGAGCTTGAACACCGTTTCCAAATCCGGCGGTGTGAAGAACTCCTTCACGCCGCTGAAGTTGCATCTGGAAGGCGGCCGGCTCTTTCTCGGCGCCGGTGGGCATGACAAAATCTCAGGTATTCTTGTTTCTTTCGCTGTTGGGGTTGTCGAATACTCCTCCTCTTCCTCTACGTCGTCGGTCTCCTTCCCCCTCGCCGATTTTGTGTTTACCGGCTTTAAGCAAGTTCGTACCGAGATTCCGGCGATTACCCACTTCTTGCCTTCGGATTCCATGCCTCCGTCCACCACCTGGGACTTCTTCGAAAAACCCATGTCTCAATTTCTGAAGAAATCGTTGTTTTCTTCGTTGAAATCCAGCCAAAACAGAGCAAGAACAGAGCAAAAAAAGGTAGGATTTTGATACGAGAATCAGAATAAATCGAGGAAAAAAAGATGGGTTTTGATCTGGGAATCGGAACAAACCAAGAGAACAAGCTCAAAGAATCGGAGAGAGAAAGATTGAGAGAGAAAAGGGTCTTTGTTTCTTCTTTGAATAAGCTAAAGATTTTGAAGGCGGCTGGAGAGAGAGAGAGAGAGAGAGAGAGAGGAGGGAAATAGTACGGTTTGATTGGAAAAGAAAAGTTTTTTTAGAAAGACAAAATAAAGATGTGTATATATATCTATATAGATATGTAGGTATATGTGTATAACATAGGCAAAAGTTAAAAGAAGGCTAATCAGTGTGGAAATTCATCAAGAGAGAGCTGCCCGGCATTTTGCGGGCAGCCCCAAACCGAGTGAAATGGATTTTGGCGCCAAAAGTTTGAGGTTTGGTTAGCAACGGCTCTTTTTCCCGCGTTAGGGTTGAGTTGTGATATTACGGTTGTGCCCCTGTTGAGAATTATTATTTTCTGGGGACTGGTGCTGGCAAGTCAGGGCCACAATCACCGGCGTATGAAACGTTGTCGTTTTAAGGTTAAATCAACGGTCTATTATTGTCTGGTTCTGACCAGCCTGGGCCTGGGCCAAAATTAGCAGGCTTCAGACTTCCAGTTCAGCCTTTTGGTTGTATTACCTAGGAAGGTCCAAAACAGGAGAAACAGATGCGACACCCTTACGTTATCCTATGTTATGTACAATATACATGTAGCATTGTATGATTGAACTGAGATACTGATAATTATATGAAGTTCTTTTATCATAATGGACAGCTTTATAAATATTAATTTTTTCAGAAAATAGAATGGCCAAAAGGCAGAGTAAGACTGAGTAACTAGCCTTTTTCAGTGGCGAATGGTTGTTAAGCGTGATTCATCATGTTGCCTGCATACTCACAATAATAGTATTCTTGCTTACTTGAAATGGGAAAATTATGCTGCAGTAAAGAAAAAGGAGGAAAAGTGTGTGATCAACTTGCCCTCTGTATTGACATAATTCTTGATTTTTCATGTATTTGATTACATATTTTATGATGGTTGTCACACTTTTCCACTCCTACATGTCTTAGTAAAATCTTATAAATTAGAACAATTCAATTTCTTAGAATTTAGTGAATGCAGAAAAAATAATTGAAAACGAGTTCAATTTTTCATTTTTTACAAGTAAATATATCATAACTAGGTTTTTTCACCATTGTGTTGAGTTTGATTCACTTTACAGCCACACCCGAAAATAACTCTTGCATTAAAACCGCATAATAGTATATTGTATGGTTCTAGGAGTAGGATTATCTCTCCTCCGAATTCCCTTCCTTTCAGTCCCCTCCTCTCTCACTTTTTTCTTTTTTCTCTTTATAAAGAAATCAACAAAAGATGTTAACGTGGCTTAATCGTGATCGTTTAAATATAAAGATACTAAAAAAAATAAAAAAAAATTTGAAGGCGTGAAAATCTTACTCATTGTAGAATCTCTTAATTTCTGTGTTTCCATCATGAAATCAGCAAAGAATATATGGTTTTGTTTTTTGTTGGGAAAATTAGCAAAGAATTTTGCATGCTGATTTGCAACTGGATGGTTCATACGGGGAAAAATCAAAGGCCAGATTTTCCTCGACGTCAGATGTGGGGTCCTCCATGGGCGGCCAGCCATCTCAGCCACCCAATGGGGAACGCCGTCCTAAATCAGGGCTGACATGGTACCACGTAAGCACAGTCTTCAGTCTCAGACTCTACAAGACCTTTGGATCCTGTGGTCGTCGATTCATGTGCGCCTTACATAATAGGGCCCACAAGCCTCTGGCCAATCGGATATCTTGGAGGGTGGTGTCGGTGGGCCCATCTCTGCGCCTGATCTCATCTTTTAGCGGGTACAGCATTTAGTTTTTCTCTGGACGGTGCTGATCCACATAAGTGACATCACCGACCGTCGGCTCAATGCCGTAGAGTGTGTGGTAGCCGTCGGATCGTAGAGATCAGAATATTAGTGGAATAAAGAATAATATGGCGTATTATATCTGGATCAACTTTATAGAGTGGGGCTGGCTCACTGGGGCAGCATTAACTTGGTGAACTGTGACGTGACATCAGTTCTTCTTGTGTTTAGTTGGACTAGGACAAATATGTGGGGATAGTGACCGTGGTTTGACCACCTTATTGTACAATGTCTTGGGTGTTCATTTTTTCGGGGGATTCTGGTAATAGGCAAAATATTGGCTTTTTTGGTTAAACCTACTTCACTTTAGCTTAAGCGAAAAAAAAAAAAAAAGAATCGTCAGCATCTACCACTACAATCATTAACTTTACATTTCAACCATCATAACCAACATCATTGTTAATACAACTGTCACCGCTATAACCACAATTGTTATTACTATCACCATCGTTGTCGTTATCATTGACGTAATTGTCACCACCGCCACCAGCATTACTGTCACTACAACCACAATCGCCACCATGTCACCACAACCACAATCACCGACACGCTTCACTATTGGCACCACAACTATACTTTTACAATTGTTGCTACCATCATGATTATCATGGTCGAACCCACTGCTCTTGCCACTGCTAGTATCTTCGTTATCGCCACCACCTACGATTGAACTACCAATGTTACACTACTACCATCTTCACCACAACCATCGTTGCCCCCCACTAAAATTCCTACAATCGCCATTTTTTATGCTGCCACCATTGCAACTCTGCACCAAAACCACAATACCCTATTATTAGCACCAGCATTGGTGAAGCCACCAATGTCGTTGCTACTATGATCATTACTATGTCTATTTTTATCATTATATATAATTATATCACTTTTACACTGAAATTTATTGAACACTTTTACTTTACTTTCCATGCTCACAACATTTTTGAAAATATAGTTTATCAAATACTTAACTGCTTTATTTTATAATTGATTATTTTTAAAATACATAAAAAACAGTTTTTTACAAAAGTACAACAATCTCAAACCGACCCTAACTATTCTGATACAGTAAAATATAATATACAACCATTTATAATATGCAACCACTCTTTTAACTCTTAAAGTGACGGGTTCACCCTTTTCTTTTTAGATATGGAATGAAAACTACATAGACAATATGCATAGAAAGCCTCACTTCCTAGTGTTTCAGCCAACCTTCAAGCACTGGACAGATTATGAATTTTTTAATTTCATTAAAATATTTCAAAGCATTTTAAATCAAGATGTATAACGCAATGCTGCATGCCATAAGCAGAGGCGCAAATTTCTTTCTGAATGAAGTGATCAAATTGAAAAATAATACTATTTATTTTTCTTGTATATAAGATTATTTTCGTTGAAAAAATACAGCCAAGTTGCAGTCTCTTTTGCTTATCCAAATGGGGGCGGCAATCGAAAGCAATAATGCTTTTATTTGGTCGGTTTTGATGGAGATTGTTGTCTTGTAATTTTATGCTATTTTTCTCATAAATCTTTATTATGGGTTCGTTTAAAAATGTTTTTAAAAGACTAAAAACACTTTTTGTAAAAATATTTTTGGAATTAATTTTACTAAAAAAAGCAAGTGAATCTTAGAAATGCATTTGAAGTACTTCCTAAAATAAGCACGTAACTAATGTTTCATTTAGAAAACACTTTTAAGTGTTTTTGGAATCCAAAATTATTATCTAAAAGCGTTTCATCTCATTTTAAAAGCACTTCTAAACGAAGTTATTATATGAATTCAAAGTTAGGTATAGTCTTTGAATTTTGAGCAAATTTTCATTTGACACAATTATTCTAGCCATTTGGACGGCGTATATGGTCCTAAATACAGATCATCTGGCTGGATGATGCGCCAACTTGGCATGCCAAGACTAAAAAATCCACGTGAGCATGATACTCTTTCGGTGTACGGTCCAAAACTTGTATTGAGACAATCAAATCAGGTTATTCACAAGTTAAATTTCGCAAAATTTGTTTTCATTTGTTGGTGGAGAAAAGATAGAAAAGACATGAGGATAAACAAAGAACGTTGGATGAAAAGTAGAAGGAACGTAAAAGAAATATTTGTAAACTTTCTTCGAATTCACTCATAACTTTAGTAAGATGATAAGTAAAATATTTATCAAAAGGGAGAGATATATAATGGAGGGCAACAAATGATATCGTTGAATAATTTGGTCCTAATAGCACCAACCTCTCTAAACATAATTAGAGAAATGTTCAGGGGACTTTCTTGAAAATAGGATTCTTTGTGAAATTTTTATCGCCTCATATTTTCGGCAGAATGTTATATAATCTTGGTTTAAGAATTAACGTTAAACTGTGAGCTAGTAAATTTTTTATAGAAAATAACACTTTTGAGACAACCTCTTTAACATTTTCTAATATAATTAACAACAAAAGTAATATATTCCAATCGGATGTTGAGAATCAATGAGATGGTTTCCTGGGACACCAAAGCAGTGGGGCCCCTCCACGCTTGCCAACGTGGACCTTCATTTTATATTGTCTCGTAAATCCTCAGATGAGTGTTTTTAAGTTTAAATATCATAATCACGGTCGTTGTCGTGGAGAGAATATTGTCCTTGGACTCATTAGAAAAGCAGCCAACCAGAAGCACTTGCTCCAAAATTGCTTTTTCATATTTTCTTTACACTAATTAATTCAGTTTAAGGCGGTTTGAAAACTTACCCCCATGCGTGATCTTCTACATTGATGTCTGCAACTGTTTCTAAACAAAATTGAAAGATTAAATCTGCGCTTAAGCCCCCACAGTGATCAGGCATTGCAAGACCTTTTCTGTTCATTGGACGTATCGGTCTAGCGGCGTTCAATTTTTACTTTGTTAGAATAAGTTGTGTGTTTAAAATTTAAATATCATGAACGACACGCAATGTAACTTAAAATGAAAGTTCAAATAATCTTGGGATCAACAATCAACGATAGTAATTATAGTGAGTAAGGTATCATAGTAGGTTGCCTCACATATAAAATTCAAATGTTATACATACTTCAAGTCACTCGATATACGTTTTTTACACGTTTAGCTCTCATACAGAAAATGGCTTCTAACAATGTTGAACCTCAACTTCCTCCAGTAACACAAACTATAAAAGTTCAATTCCTACAAAAGATTTTCTGCAAAAACAAATTGTAGTACGCAGATTGGGGAGCTGTAAAGGTGTAAACCCACATTATATATAGTGGTCAGACAAAAAGGAAACTGTCAAAAAGTGAAGCTGCTTCCGACTGTAGGTGGATTAAACATCATAATCAATCTTAATAACCTAAACCACAAGGTGGCCTAGTGGTTGAGGTGAATTCTAGGTCCGTATTCCATATAGCTTGTCTTGGGTTTGATTTCTGACATTAGTGAATCACACGATAATGGCCAAAAAGATGCTAAAATACCTCTGTAAATCTATCTGATCCCCAAAAAAAGTAAACTACCGTGACTTCGCAATTAGCTGATCCTTTTTAAAAAAGAAAATATTAATAACCTAAGAATTATTGATCCTAATTGAATTTCCCCAGCTTCTATAAAGCTGCATTAGTGTTACTTACAAGGCCATGTGGAGGATCAATCAATCAGTAGGACCATTGCCTTAGTGGCCAACTCAGACTAATACAACACATTCATAATATATGAAGAAAAAAGTTGCAATTTTGTCACTTCTTTGGCTGCCTTATTCCAATATAACAATCAAGTGATTAGTACAGATATCTAATGATCAAACTTTCAACTTTAAATCCCACATCGACAGATTCAACTTAAAGCTGTAGACTTTTAAGTTTGGTTTTGAAGTTCCGAGGTATTGTAAGTTTTGATCAGAACAAAGTTTCTTTATGCGACTCAGAATCCAGAATCTGAACACTGATGGCAGCGGAAGCTGAGGTTCCGGAATCTGTATCCGCCACGGTACGGTTTCTTCATCACTCTCAGTCAAATTGCTTACTGTTCTTTTATTCTTGTAATATTATGATCGATCTTTCTATGTATGTATGATATAATTTTATCTTGTAAGATGGTTTTCAGTAGTTTAATCACGTAATCGAAAGATTGATCCGCTGTAATATACGGTATTAAGTAAATAATTAGAGGCAAGATCATGTGTTGTTACTAGTTTCAGTTTGTATTTTGAGCAAGAAATCCAGATAGCAACGTAAATACGCGAAAAAAATTCAACGTAAACTAGTATGGCTATGCTTAAAGCTTGTTTGGATTGATAATCAAAGATCAAACCGTATTGAATCTGGGAAATAGTTTATAAACTCGGATTTTCTCGTAGTATGTTAGATTTCGTAGTATTGAATTCAGGATGGCCTGATGTAATGAAAGAAAAGAAACAGACAACTATGCAAAGTGAAGATATTTGTTCTGAAAGAACGCTACGTTGAGCTACTCCGTTCATGTGTTGTGGAAGAATGAACTCTTAACGGTACATTCTGCGCAACGAAAAGTAAAGAAATAAAACATTGGTGTGTGTATAAAGAACAGAGAAATCAGGGGATTCTAGTTTCGAATTCCATGCTTAGATTCGTTGTACGACAGTTAAAATCTCTCCTTTCGCTGAGCAACGAATGATCTCTTGCAACAGCTTCTTCGTAAAATAAACACGAAAAGTATACGAGTTATGAAAACGTTGAAGCTTTACATTCAATGTGACTATGTTTCTTTTGTTTTGCCTCCTACTCCTAGTTATGAAAATTTGAAAAACGTAATGTTTCCTTTGTAATGCAGGCGGAAGGGGAAGACGGATATCTGACAACGGGGAAGTTTGACATAACTGTCAATCAATTTTCCCCAGTACAACTGAAAAAATCCGAAGGCGAGGAGTGATCAACGTCCTGAACCGGTGAAATGCTATGTAGAGGGTGAAATTGCACACGTTGAAAGCAAGAATGGAATCTCAGAGTGCGGAAATCCTTTAGAAACACTCTTAGATTCAAAGGTTGACAAACAAGAGGAAGATGCACGGAGAAAAGATGAGGCACTGGATATAGGAGAGGCTTCAGTGGTGGAGGAGGAAGATAGTGATGGATTTTCCGCTGTAGAGCACAGCAAAGCGAATTCAACAGATCACAAAGGAGAAAGCGAGACGAACTTATATGAGAACATTCAGCCTGTCACCTATGAGCTTGCTAGACCGAAGTTAAATTCTGAGGAAGACGAAGCAGCAACTTCGAGAGAAAGTTCAGAAACAATCACCACTGCTGAAGATGAGAGACGAGTTGTAGAACAAAGCTGCGAGAAAGAGGGAAAGGTAGAGGAAGCAAATACTAGTTATGACACCATTGAAGATGAAACTCCTGACGAACAGGTTAATAAAATACTTGCTTGAACCCTTTTCATTTGAACTAGAAAGTGTTTGGAAATTTGTTGAGTTTCTTGGTTGCATAATTCAATTGAAAATATATCTCAAAACCTTTTTATCAAAAGACTTGGTTTGTGTTCTATTGATGTTGCAGAATCTCCGAGTGGCAAGTAGCTTGATGCAAATTGTTACGGAGTCAGAGATTGCTGAAGTAGGCAAGAGCACCATATCGGAGCCAAATGAAAATGTTGAAAGATCTGAAGGAGTTCTTAATGTTTCAACGGTGAAAGGTGACGAAGGTGATCAGGGAGATGGTACCAACCCAACGGTGAAAGGTGACGAAGGTGGTCAGGGAGATGGTACCAACCCAACTAAGGATGACAAAGATGTAGATACATTTACCACCAAAGTGGCTGAAGATGATGAGTATAGTAGTGCAGTCACGATTAAAGAAACGAGCGCAAAAGTAACACCAAATGATGATGAAAGTTCACCACAGACCTTGCAGAAATGTGATTCAGGAGAGGAGCTTCAACATTCGCGGGATGTGTTGCCTGAGGAAACTAAGACACAAACATCCCGAGAAAATGCAGAAGAAAGTAACTGCACAAAAGAGGAAACAACAATTCAGCACACGCAAGAATCCTTGGACGAAGAAAAGAAAGAAGCGACTGAAAACACAAGTAATTTAGAAGATGACAATGCAAGGGAGGAGGTAAGATTGGAATTAACGCTTTTCATGAGTTTTTATTTCTGGTTTATGATCTGCCATTTCAGTTTATGATGGTTTCATCGCTAATGAAGGTGCTTGAGACTTCCGGTACAAAACAAGAAACCGGAGAACACTTGGTTGGGGAAATTCATGCGGAATCCCCTCAAGATTTCGGTGATAAAGAAACAAATGAAGAAACCTCAACAGAGTATCAGGTTTACTTGAACACAAACATAAACCCTACCAAAAGTGCTATCCTATTTCTTCATCTCCAAGTATATGACCTTTCGTTTTTTTTTTTTTCAATTTTAGGCAATTGTTGAGGCAGCCGATTTGAGTACAAATACAGAGGAAAAGAACTTAGAGGAACAGGCCATTCCGGAACTCTCTTCTCCGTTGGTAGTAGAAGAAACAGCTACGGAAATCCCAAGGGAAGAAGAAACCGGTGCCTTGATTCTAAAAGAAGAGGTTAGCATGATATCAGGATTTTCGATTTTTACATCATAGTCTACTGTATTACATATTCCAATAAAGAATTGGTATCCCCTGCAGAAAAAGGAAGAAGATGCAGAATGTAACGAGCCCGCTGAGGTAGCGAGTATGACACATGAAACACAGTCTGAAACCACAGAGGACACAACAGAGCCAAATAAGGACCTCAGTGGTCCAATTTCAGAAGAAAGCAACAAAACATTTGTTGAAAATATTTCCACTCTAGCTGAGGTATCTGAGACGGAGACAGAGAAACATACTCAGGAGAAAGATGGCCTGGCGGCTAGCAATTCTGACTTTGCGTTGGGTGAAGCGAGTCATGCAACAGGTATGACGGAGGAAGCTGAAACAGAAAATGACGAGCAGAAAGAAAACATTGATACTGCTCCTGAAGAGAAGGGTCAAGCAACCATCTTAAAAGACGAAACAGCCTCGGAAGTTGAAGATATTGGTGTACAAGCAGAGGAAAATTGTGAATCAAAAGAGAAGTTGGAGGAGCATATTCCAACAGCAGCAGATGAGGGTGAAGCATTCTCGAAGGAAGCCGAGGCAGAAATTGAGGAGCAGATAAACAATAGTGATGTTGCTGCTGAAGAGAAGGTTCTGGGAACCATCTTAACAAATGAAAAATCCTTCGACGTGGAAGATACCTGTGTGCAAGCAGAGAAAAGTGTCGAATCAAATGAGAACTTGGAGGAGAATTTTCCAACAACAGCAGATGAAGGCGAAACATGCCTGCAGGAAGCTGAAGCAGAAAGCAAGGATGAGATTAAAAGTACTGATATTGCTCATGCAGATACTGATGGACACGGAGATGAAATTGATAATTCTGAAGAGAACTTAGATAAGAAGATCCTAGCAGGCGAACGTGAAACAAGCTTGAAAGCAGCCGAAGCAGAATATAAGGAGCAGGGAAAACATGCTGATATTGTTCCTGAAGAGAAGGGTCTTACAACCATCTTAACAGATGAAACACCCATAGACGTCGAGGATATTGAGGTAGAAACTGAGGACTGTGTCGAATCAAAAGAGAATGTGGAGGAGCAAATTCCAACAACAGCAGATGAAGGCGAAAAAAGTACTTACATTTCTCCTGAAAGTATTGAAGTACAAGCAGATGAAAATTTTATTACACTAGAGAATTTGGAGAACCCGATTCTAACAACATCAGATGAACGAGAAACAGGCTTGGGAGAAGCTGAAGCAGAAATTAAGGAGCAGATCAAAAGTATTGATATTGTTCCAGAAGAGATGGCAACCATCTCAACAGCCGAGACACACTCGGATGTTGAAGTTATCGGTGTACAAGCAGAGGAAAGCCGCAAATCAAAAGAGAACGTGGAGGTAAGATTGGAATTAACGCTTTTCATGAGTTTTTATTTCTGGTTTATGATCTGCCATCTCAGTTTATGATGGTTTTGTCTCTAACGTAGGTGCTTGAGACTCCCGGTACAAAACAGGAAACTGGAGAACACTTGGTTGGGGAAATTCATACGGAATCCCCTCAAGATTTCGTTGATAAAGAAACAAATGAAGAAACCTCCACAGAGTATCAGGTTTACTTGAACGCAAACATAAACCCTACCAAAAGTGCTACCCTATTTCTTTGTCTCCAAGTATATGACCTTTCGTTTTTTTTTTCCTTCCAAATTTAGGCGTGTGTTGAGGCAGCCGATTTGAGTACAAATACAGAGGAAAAGAACTTAGAGGAACAGGCCATTCCGGAACTCTCTTCTCCGTTGGTAGTAGAAGAAACAGCTACGGAAATCCCAAGGGAAGAAGAAACCGGTGTCTTGATTCTAAAAGAAAAGGTTAGCATGATATCAGGATTTTTTATTTTTAAATTATAGTCTACTGTATTACATATTCCAATCAAGAATTGGCATCCCCTGCAGAAAAAGGAAGAAGATGCAGAATGTAACGAGCCTGCTGAGGTAGCGAGTATGACAGATGAAACACAATCTGAAACCACAGAGGACACAAAAGAGCCAAATAAGGATCTCAGTGCTCCAATTTCAGAAGAAAGCAACAAAAACATTAGCTGAGGTATCTGAGACGGAGACAGAGAAAAATATTCAGGAGAAAGATGGCCTGGCGGTTAGCTATTCTGACTCTCCGTCGGGTGAAGTGAGTCATGTAATAGGTTTGAAGGAAGCTGAAACAGAAAAGGAGGAGCAGAAAGAAAACCTTGATACTGCTCCGGAAGAGAAGGGTCAAGCAACCATCTTGAAAGATGAAATGGCCTCGGAAGTTGAAGATATTGGTGTACGAGCAGAGGAAAATTGTGAATCAAAAGAGAAGTTGGAGGAGCATATTCCAACAGCAGCAGATAAGGGTGAAGCATTCTCAAAGGAAGCCGAGGCAGAAATTGAGGAGCAGATAAACAATAGTGATGTTGCTGCTGAAGAGAAGGTTCTGAGAACCATCTTAACAGATGAAAAATCCTTCGATGTGGAAGATACCAACGTGCAAGCAGAGAAAAATGTCGAATCAAATGAGAACTTGGAGGAGAATATTCCAACAGCAGCAGATGAAGGTGAAATATTCCCGAAGGAAGCTGAAGAGGAAAGCAAGGATGAGATTAAAAATGCTGATATTGCTCATGCAGATATTGATGAACACGGAGATGAAAGCGATAGTTCTGAAGAGAACTTGGATAAGCAGATTCCAGCAGTGGAATGTGAAACAAGCTTGAAGGCAGCCGAAGCAGAATATAAGGAGCAGGTCAAAAGCATTGATATTGTTCCTGAAGAGATAGCAACCATCTCAACAACTGAGACACCCTTGGACATTGAAGACATTGGTGTACGAGCAGAGGAAAGTCTCAAATCAAAAGAGAATGTGGAGGAGCAGATTCCAACAGTAGCAGATGAAGGTGAAAATTTCTTGAAGGAAGCCGAAGCAGAAAACGAGGAGCAGATTAACGAGGAAACTTTGAATTCACAAGAATCCTCAGACAAAGAAAAAGAAGAAGTGACTCAAATTACAAACATAAAAGATGACACTGAAAGGGATGAGGTAAGATCGGAATAAACTTTTTTATGAGTTTTTCTTTCTGGCTTATCATCTGACTAGTAGTCTCCCTATACGGTTTAGTTATTGACCGAAATGCAGGATTCATAACGTATCACTGATAAACACGATGGTTTATTTTCATATGGTACAAACGATTTCTAAAATATATTTTCTCCTCATATATTTTGATGGTTTCATCTCTAACGTAGGTGCTTGAGACTACCAGTACGGAGCAAGAAACTGGAGAACATGTGGTACACGAAATTCATACTGTCCCAGAACCCCCTCGAGATTCCATTGATAAAGAAACAAATGAAGACAACTCCACGGAATATCAGGTTTACCTGGACACAAACATAAAGCCTACAAGTGCTATCCTTTTTCTTCGTCTCACAGTTCATAACCTATGTTTTTTTTCCCTTCCAATGTTAGGCATGTACTGAGGCAGCTGATTTGAGTACAAGTGCAGCGGAAAAGAACTTAGAGGAACATGACAGTCAAGAACTCTCTTCTCCTCTCGTAGTACAAGAAGCAACTAATGAAATCCCGATGGAAGAAGAAACCTCCGCCACGCTTCTAGAAGAAGAGGTAATCTAGCATAGATATCAAAATTTTAGATTATTACATTAGTATTATCTTGCAAATTCAAATTTACAATTCATATCCACAACAGGAAAAGGAAGGGCATGCAACATGTAACGAGCCGACTGAGAAATATGAGGCAGAGATGGAGAAAAATATTCAGGAGAAAGATGGCAACACAGTTAGCAATTCTGAATCTCTGTCTGGAGAACTGAGTCATGTAACAGCCTTGCATGAATCTGAAACAGAGATTGAAAGGCAGGAGAAAAACATTGACACTGCTGCTGAAGAGAAGGGTCAAGCAACCATCTTGAAAGAAAACATTGATACTGCACCGGAAGAGAAGGTCAAGCAACCATCTTGAAAGGTGAAACGGCCTCGGAAGTTGAAGATATTGGTGTACAAGCAGAGGAAAAATGTGAATCAAAAGAGAATTTGGAGGAGCATATTCCAACAGCAGCAGACAAGGTTGAAACATTCTCAAAGGAAGCCGAGGCAGAGAAGGAGGAGCAGATAAACAATGGTGATGTTGCTGCTGAAGAGAATGTTCTGGAAACCATCTTAACAAATGAAAAATCCTTCGACATGGAAGATACCAATGTGCAAGCAGAGAAAAATGTCGAATCAAATGAGAACTTGGAGGAGAATATTTCAACAGTAGCAGATGAAGGCGAAACATTCCGAAGGAAGCTGAAGCAGAAAGCAAGGATGAGATTAAAAATGATGATATTCCTCATGCAGATATTGATGGACATGGAGATGAAATTGATAGTTCTGAAGAGAGCTTGGATAAGCAGATTCCAGCAGGGGAATGTGAAACAAGCTTGAAAGCAGCTGAAGCAGAGTATAAGGAGCTGGTCATACATGGTGATATTGCTCCTGAAGAGAAGGGTCTAGCAACCATCGTAACAGATGAAACACCCTTAGACGTTGAGGATATTGAGGTAAAAACTAAGGAATGTGTTGAATCAAAAGAGAATGTGGAGGAGCAGATTCCAACAACAGCAGACGAAGGTGAAAAAAGTACTTATATTTCTCATGAAGATATTAAAGTACAATCAGATGAAAATTTTATTACACAAGATAATTTGGAGAACCCGATTCCAACAACATCAGGTGAACAAGAAACAGGCTTGGGAGAAGCTGAAGCAGAAATTAAGGAGCAGGTCAAAAGTATTGATATTGTTCCTGAAGAGATAGCAACCAATTCAACAGCTGAGACACCCTTGGACGTTGAAGATATCGGTGTACAAGCAGAGGAAAGTCTCAAATCAAAAGAGAACGTGGAGGAGCAAATTCCAACAGCAGCAGATGAAGGTGAAAATTTCTTGAAGAAAGCCGAAGCAGAAAACAAGGAGCAAATTGACGAGGAAACTTTGAATTCACAAGAATCCTCAGACAAAGAAAAAGAAGTGACTGAAATTACAAACACAAAAGATGACACTGAAAGGGAGGAGGTAAGATTGGAATAAACTTTTTTATGAGTTTTTCTTTTGTGGCTTGTCATCTGACTAGTAGTCTCCCTATACAGGTTTAGTTATTGACATGAAATGCAGGATTCATAACATATCACCGATAGATATGAATATGCGAAAATACGAAGGTTTATTTTAGTATGGTACAAACGATTTCTAAAATCTATTTTCTCCTTATATATTATGACGGTTTCATCTCTAATGTAGGTGATTGAGACTACCAGTACGGAGCAAGAAACTGGAGAACATGTGGTACACGAAATTCATACTGTCCCAGAACCCCCTCGAGATTCCATTGATAAAGAAACAAATGAAGACAACTCCGTGGAATATCAGGTTTACCTGGATACAAACATAAAGCCTACAAGTGCTATCCTTTTTCTTCGTCTCCCAGTTCATAACCTATATTTTTTTTCCCTTCCAATGTTAGGCATGTACTGAGGCAGCTGATTCGAGTACAAGTGCAGAGGAAAAGAACTTAGAGGAACATGCCATTCGGGAACTCTCTTCTCCGCTGGTAGTAGAAGAAGCTACTAACGAAATCCTAAAGGAAGAAGAAACCTACACCGTGCTTCTAGAAGAAGAGGTAATCTAGCATTCAATATCAAATTTAGATTAAAATACACTATAGTATTATCTTGCAAATTGAAATTTACAACTCATATCGACAACAGGAAAAGGAAGGGCATGCAACATGTAACGAGCCCAGTGAGGAATATGAGGCAGAGATTGAGAAAAATATTCAGGAGAAAGATGGCAGCACAGTTAGCAATTCTGAATCTCTGTCCGGAGAACTAAGTCATGTAACAACCTTGAAGGAATCTGAAACAGAGATCGAAGGGCAGGACAAAAAAATTGATACTGCTCTTGAAGAGAAGGGTAAAGCAACCATCTCAGCAGATGAAACAACCTCGGAAGTTGAAGATATTGATGTACAATTAAAGGAGAACCTTGAATTGGAAGGGCACTTGGAGGAACAATTTCCGATAGCAGCAGATGAAGGTGAAATAATCTTGAAAGAAGCCGAAGCAGAAAACCAGGAGCAGATAAAAAATGTTGATATTGCTCATGAAGATGTTGATGCACATGCAGAGAAAACTGTTAACTCAGAAGAGAACATAGATAAGCAGATTCCGCCAATAGCACATGAAGGTGAAACAAGCTTGAAAGAAACCGCTGTCTTGATTCTAAAAGAAGAGGTTAGCATTGTATCAGAATTTTCGATTTTTACATTATAGTCTATTGTATTACATATTCCAATCAAGAATTCGCATCCCCTGCAGAAAAAAGAAGAAGATACAGAATGTAACGAGCCTGCTGAGGTAGTGAGTATGACACATGAAACACAATCTGAAACCATAGAGGACATAACAGAGCCAAATAAGGACCTCAATGCTCCAATTTCAGGAGAAAGCAACAAAACATTTGTTGAAAATATTTCCACTCTCGCTGAGGTGTCTGAGACGGAGACTGAGAAAAATGTTCAGGAGAAAAATGGCCTGGCTGCCAGCAATTCTGACTCTGTGTTGGGTGAAGTGAGTTATGTAACAGGTTTGAAGGAAGCTGAAACAGAAAAGGAGGAGCAGAAAGAAAACATTGATACTGCTCCGGAAGAAAGGGGTCAAGCAACCATCTTGAAAGGTGAAACGGCCTCGGAAGTTGAAGATATTGGTGTACAAGAAGAGGAAAATTGTGAATCAAAAGAGAATTTGGAGGAGCATATTCCAACAGCAGCAGACAAGGTTGAAACATTCTCTAAGGAAGCCGAGGCAGAAAATGAGGAGCAGATAAACAATAGTGATGTTGCTGCTGAAGAGAAGGTTTTGGAAACCATCTTAATAAATGAAAAATCCTTCGACATGGAAGATACCTATGTGCGAGCAGAGAAAAATGTCGAATCAAATGAGAACTTGGAGGAGAATTTTCCAACAACAGCAGATGAAGGCGAAACATCCCTGCAGAAAGCTGAAGCAGAAAGCAAGGATGAGATTAAAAGTACTGATATTGCTCATGCAGATACTGATGGACAAGGAGATGAAATTGATAATTCTGAAGAGAATGTGGATAAGCAGATCCCATCAGGGGAATGTGAAACAAGCTTGAAAGCAGCCGAAGCAGAATATAAAGCACAGGGCAAGCATGCTGATATTGTTCCTGAAGAGAAGGGTCTAGCAACCATCTTAACAGATGAAACACCCTTAGACGTCGAGGATATTGAGGTAAAAACTGAGGACTGTGTCGAATCAAAAGAGAATGTGGAGGAGCAGATTCCAACAACAGCAGATGAAGGCGAAAAAATTACTTATATTTCTCCTGAAGATATTGAAGTACAAGCAGATGAAATTTTTATTACACAAGAGAATTTGGAGAACCCAATTCTAACATCAGGTGAACGAGAAACAGGCTTGGGAGAAGCTGAAGCAGAAATTAATGAGCTGGTTAAAAGTATTGATATTGTTCCTGAAGAGATGGCAACCATCTCAACAGCTGAGACAACCTCAGACATTGAAGTTATCGGTGTACAAGCAGAGGAAAGCCTCAAATCAAAAGAGAACGTGCAGGAGCAGATTCCAACACCAGCAGATGAAGGTGGAAAATTCTTGAAGGAAGCAGAAGCAGAAAACAAGGAGCAGATCGAAGAGGAAAATTTGAACTCACAAGAACAAGTGACTGAAATTACAAACACAATAGAAGATGACACTGAAAGGGAGGAGGTAAGATCGGAATAAACTTGTAGTTCTTCTTTCTGGCTTATCATCTGACAAGTAGTCTCCCTACACGGTTTTGTTATTGACCTAGATGAAAGATTCATAACGTATCACATATACATATGAACATGCAAAGAAACGATGTTTTATTTTAAAATGGTATGAACGATTTCTAAAATTTATTTTCTCCTTTTATATTATGACAGTTTCATCTCTAATGTAGGTGCTTGAGACTACCAGTACGGAGCAAGAAACTGGAGAACATGTGGTATACGAAATTCATACTGTCCTGAAACCCCCTCGAGATTCCATTGATAAAGAAGCAAATGAAGACAACTCCGCAGAATATCAGGTTTACCTGGACACAAACATAAAGCCTACAAAAGTGTGATCCTTTTTCTTCATCTCCCAGTACATAACCTTTGGATTTTTTTTCCCTTCCAATGTTAGGCATGTTCTGAGGCAGCTGATTTGAGTACAAGTGCAGAGGAAAAGAACTTAGAGGAACATGCCATTCAGGAACTCTCTTCTCCGCTGGTAGTAGAAGAAGCAACTAAGGAAATCCTGAAGGAAGAAGAAACCTACAACACGCTTCTAGAAGAAGAGGTAATCTAGCATTCGATATCAAATTTTAGATTCAAATACACTGTAGTATTATCTTGCAAATTGAAATTTACAACTCATACTGACAACAGGAAAAGGAAGGGCATGCAACATGTAATGAGCCCAATGAGGAATATGAGGCAGAGATTGAGAAAAATATTCAGGAGAAAGATGGCAACACAGTTAGCAATTCTGAATCTCTGTCCGGAGAACTGAATCATGTAACAGCCTTGAAGGAAACTGAAACGGAGATCGAAAGGCAGGACAAAAACATTGATACTGCTCCTGAAGAGAGGGGTCAAGCAACCATCTCAGCAGATGAAACAGCCTCGGAAGTTGAAGATATTGATGTACAATTAAAGGAGAACCTTGAGTTGGAAGAGACCTTGGAGGAACAACTTCCGATAGCAGCAGATGAAGGTGAAATAATCTCGAAAGAAGCTGAAGCAGAAAACCAGGAGCAGATAAAAAATGTTGATATTGCTCATGAAGATGTTGATGCACAAGAGGAGAAAGCTGTCAACTCAGAAGAGAACATAGATAAGCAGATTCCGCCAATAGCACATGAAGTGACTGAAACTACAAACACACTAGAAGATGACACTACAAGGGAGGAGGTAAGATTGAAATAAACCTTTTCATGAATTTTTCTTTCGGCCCTATCATCTGACAAGTAGTTTCCTTACGCGGTTTAGTTATTGACCAAAATGCAGGATTCATAATGTATCACCGATAGATATGAATATGCGAAAATACGATGGTTTATTTTAGTATGGTACAAAACGATTTCTAAAATCTATTTTCTCCTTATATATTACGACGGTTTCATCTCTAATATAGGTGCTTGAGACTACCAGCACGGAGCAAGAAACTGGAGAACATGTGGTACACGAAATTCATACTGTCCTGGAACCCCCTCGAGATTCCATTGATAAAGAAACAAATGAAGAGAACTCCGCGGGATATCAGGTTTACCTGGACACAAAATAAAGCCTACAAAAGAGTTATCCTTTTTCATCGTAGCCCAGTACATAACCTGTGTGTTTTTTCCTTCCAATGTTAGGCCTGTACTGATGCAGCTGATTTGAGTACAACTGCAGAGGAAAAGAACCTAGAGGAACATGACATTCAGGAACTCTCTTCTCCGCTGGTAGTAGAAGAAGAAACTAATGAGATCCCGAAGGAAGAAGAAACCAACGCCGTGCTTCTAGAAGAGGTAATCTAGCATAGGATATCAAAATTTTAGATTATTACATTATAGTATTATCTTGCAAATTCAAATTTACAGTTCATATCCACAACAGGAAAATGAAGGTCATGCAACATGTAACGAGCCGACTGAGAAATATGGGGCAGAGATTGAGAAAAATATTCAGGAGAACGATGGCAACACAGTTAGCAATTCTGAATCTCTGTCTGGAGAACTGAGTCATGTAACAGCCTTGCATGAATCTGAAACAGAGATCGAAATGAAGGACAAAAACATTGATACTGCTGCTGAAGAGAAGGGTCAAGCAACCATCTTAGCGGATGAAACGGCCTCGGAAGTTGAAGATATTGATGTACAATTGAAGGAGAATCTTGATTCAGAAGAGAACTTGGAGGAACAATTTCCTATAGCAGCAGATGTAGGTGAAATAATCTCGAAAGAAGCCGAAGCTGAAAACAAGGAGCAGATAAAAAATGTTGATATTGCTCATGAAGATGTTGATGCACAAGCGGAGAAAACTGTCAATTCAGAAGAGAACATAGATAAGCAGATTCCGCCAGTAGCACATGAAGGTGAAACAAGCTTGAAAGAAGCCGAAGCAGAAGATAAGGAACAGGTCACATATGCTGATATTGCTCCTGAAGAGAAGGGTCTAGCGACCATCTTAACAGATGAGACACCCTTGGAAGCAGAAGATATTGGTGTAAAAGCAGAGGAAAGTTTCGAATCAAAAGAGAAGTCCGAGGAGAAAAATCCAATTGCAGCTGATGAAGATGAAACATTCTTGAAGGAAGCCGAAGCAGAAAACAAGGAACAGATAAAGTATAGTGATATTGCTCCTGAAGACAAGGGTCTAGCAACCATCTTAACAGATCAAAAGGCTTCGAACATTGAAGATATTGGTTTACAAGCGGAGGAAACTTTCAACTCGAGCAAGAACTTGGAGAGTAAGATTCCATCAACAGCAGATGAACATGAAACAAGCTTGAAAGAAGCCGAAGCAATAAATACGGAGCAGTTCAAATACACTGATCTTGTTCCCGAAGAGAAGGGCCTTGCAAACATCGTAATGGATGAAACATCTTTGGACGTAGAAGATATTGATGTAAAATCGGATGAAGTTTCTGAATCAAAGGAGAATGTGGAAGAGCAGATTCCAACCGCATCACATGAGCGTGGAACATTCTTGAATGAAGCTGAAGCAGAAAGTAAGGAGCATAAATACAATACCGATATTTCTCCAGAACAGAAGAGTCTAGCAACCGTCTCAACAGATGAGGCAACGTTGGACGTGGAAGATATTGGCGTACAAGTAGAGAGAAGTTTTGAATCAAAAGAGGACTTCGAGGAGAAAATCCCAACGGAGGATGAAACGTTCTTGAAGGAAGCGAAGCAGAAACCAAGGAGCATATAAAATGCAGTGATATTGCCCCGAAGAGAAGGGTCTAGCAGACATCTTAACAGATGAATCATCCTTGGACGTCAAAGATATTGAGGTAAAAGAAGAGGAAAGTTTTGAATCAAATGAGAACCTGGAGGAGCAGATTCAAACAGCAGAAGGGGAAGGTGAAACACGTTTGAGGGAAGCCGAAGCAGAATCTGATGAACGGGTCAAAAATGATATTGCTCCTGAAGAGAAGGTTCTGGAAACCATCTCAAAAGATGAAATGGCCTTGGACATTGATGATGCTTATGTGCAACTGCAAGCAGAGGAAAATTCCGACACAAAAGAGTTCTCGGACAAGGAGAATCCGACAGCAGCAGATGAAGGTGAAGAGAAGATAGCACATGGAAATGTAGTTTTGAATGACACCGCTGGAGTGCAAATTCTTGAAGAAGCAGAACCGAAAGTGGGAGTCGAAGAGGAGAGTTGCAAATCAGAAGCTCAACCTGAAAAGACTAGCACGATAGTTGAAGAGGTACGCAACATAAAATATGAATGAATGTATTCCTGTGACACAAACACACCGAATTATAAACAAACAGTCAATAACATATTTTCTCCATGTCTCCTTAATTCTTCACGAAACTTCAATGTTTACAGGTCTTTGATGAGTCAAAGATCACAGGCAGAGATTTCAACACAGAAGAAATCGTAGAAGGCAATGTCGCATGTTTTACACAAGAATCAATTGGAGAGGATACAGTTAACAAATCCCAAGAAATTGAAACTGAGAATAAAAATTTAAAGGAAGAGGGAAGCTGTATAGAGAGCTTAAAAGAAGGCAGCGGTGATGATCTCTCACCGGAGTACATTGGAGAAGATGAAAGTGAAACGCTCAAAGATGACCAAAAGGATGAAGTGAAGTCCAGAGGAGAGGTTAGCTTAAAAGGCGCACACTGTCTCTACGGGAATTTTCTTTTATCTGTATGTCTATATATAATAAGGTTATATTTTTTTGCAGATTCTTAAAGAGTCACAAGCTGATGGAGTAGATGAGAGCATCACAGGTGAGACAACTATGATTGCTGAAAGGTCTGAACAGATTGTTACTTCACCGGTGAAATATGAAGAAGGCGAGCAGGGAGAAAGTAGCAGTCCAGTTTCGAAGGAGGAGGGTAGCAATGAGGACACGTTTTCTACCAAAGTGGCTGAAGAGGGTGATGATGATAATGGTGCAGTCACGGTTATAGAAACAAGTGCAGACGTAAATGGTGAAGAAGGTTTACCACAGGCCGTGCAGAAATATGAACCAGTCGAGGGGCATGAAAAGATGCTCGACCTGATGCCTGAAGAAAGTAAGACAGAATCGAGCGAAAATGCTGAAGTAGTTACCTGCACAGAAGAGGAAATAAAAATTCAGAACATACAAGAATCCTTGGATGAAGAAAAGAAAGAAGAAGAGACAACACCTGTGAATGATACGAAAGAAAATGAAACTGAAGTAGAGGAGGTAAGATTAGCATAAAAAATCTATGACACTTTATTTTTGGAACTTATGTCACAGTTTATAATCCTTTCATCTCTGACATAGGTGTTTGAGATTGCAAGTACGGAACAAGAAATGGGAGAACAGGCAACGCGGGAAATTGATACAGTTGAGGACAACACTCAAGAGTTCAATGACAAAGAAACAACCGAAGAAAATTTGAACGAATATCAGGTTACTTGAACACGAAAAACAAAAGTCTACTGAAATACATGATCCCTATATTTGGTCTTCTTCAGTTATGAAACTCTTTTTTTTACCATTTAGGTGTCATTTGAGGCAGCTGATTCGAGTACAGATATTGTTGGAAAGAACTCAGATGAACAGGCCAGTCGAGAACTCTCTTCTTCGCCGGTAGGAGAAGACACAAGTACCGAAAGCTCAAAGCAAGAAGAAAGCTATGTTTTGAGTCTGAAAGAAGAGGTCAGCTTGCATACAATATAGAAATCAGTATATTAGATTGTTCGATTATATCATAACTTTACAATTGTCGATTTACACATTTATACTAGGAAAACAAAGCCACACATGCTCCTACTTCAGAGGAACAAACCCACACAGACTTGAAGGGAGCCAAAGCAGAAACCAAAGAGCAGGTCAAAGATATTGAAATTGATCATGAAGAGAAGGGTCTAGCAACCATCTTAACAGATGGAGCTGCCTTGGAAAATGTTGACTCAGAAGAGTTTTCAGAGAACCAGATTCCAACAGTAGCAGATGAAGGCGAATACAACACTGAGCTGGCGGGAGATAAGGCCGTGGATGAAAGCTTTCAAGTGCAAAGCCTTGAGGAAGCAGAGCCAAAATTGAGAGTTGAAGATGAGAGTTGCGAATCAGAATACCATCCCGAGAATAACACCATGATAGTTGAAGAGGTATGCAATATACAATATGATGACCATAATCATTAACAACCATGCACAATCATATAGAAACGCTAATTTCGTATTTTCTAACTCGTCCTTTTCTTTGTAAAGCCTCAACTGCCAGAACAGGTCCTGGATGAGCCAAAGAGCACTGGCGGAGATTTCAGTGAAGGACAAACCATAGAAAGCAATGCTGCAATTTGTACACCAGAAAGAATTCAAGAAGAAACTGCTAAGAACTCTCAAGACAGTGACAAAGAGACAGAAAACTTAACGGAAGAGGGAAGTAGTATCGAGAGCGTGAAAGCATGCAATACTGATGACCCGTCGCAAGAGTTTATCCTGGACGATGGAAGCAAAAAGTTCGATGATAACAAACAGATACAGTGAAGTTTGAAGGAGAGGTCAGCTTATAAAGCTTACTTTGTCTCTAGGGAAATTATTGTTTATCTATTTTGAATATAAACTTATTTTTTGTACAGATACTTAAAGAGACAGAGATTGCTGGAGTAGGTAAGAGCACCACATATGAAACGAATCAGATTGCTGAATCATCTGGAGAAATTTCTGGTGCTTCACCAGTGAAGTATGAAGAAGGTCAGCCGGGAGAAGGTAGCGGTCAAGATTCAGAAAAAGCTTCAAAGGATGAGGATGTTACTGAAGACGATGACAATAATGGTGCAGTCACAGTTACTGAATCAAGTGCAGAGGTTACATCAAAAGGGGAAGAAGAATCAGAGCAGGCTTTGGAGAAATCTGAACCGGAAGAAGAGAAGGTACCGGTCAAAATTAGTGATGTAGCAGATGTGAAAGAGGTTTGCGATTTGGAGGACAAAGCTTCTTTCGCCGAAAAGACAACAGAAGAGACAAGCTTGCAAATAGAAGGGCATGCGGAGGTTTCTGAATTGGTTCCGGAAAAGCTAGATGTTGAAGCTACTGAAGAAGAATTCAAAGAAAGTTCTGAAATAGTTCCTGAATCTGATTCTAGTAGCATTGATGTAGTTTCGAAAGATGAGATTGTTACTAGTCAGACACTCGATGAAGGGATATCACACGAGCAAGTTGAAATCCCATCTTCTACATTGCTTACTGAGGCAAAGGAGATCGAAGCTTCTCAACATGAGCATGAAACTCCAACCAAAGACAAGAATATAGAAGAAGAGCATGAAAAGGAAATCCTGGCTGATGAAAACAAGAGAGATTTATCTGCTGAGAGGTCAGAAGATGAGACACCCTTGCAAAAGGAAGAGTCTAAAGAGCTCAAAGCTTCTGAGTTGTCTCTGGAAAAGCTGGATGCGGGTGATACAGAAGAAGGAATCAAAGAATCTCTTAAGACAATCTCTAAATCCGATTCTCAAAGCACTGATGCAGTTTCGAAAGATGAAATTGTTGCTGACCAAACACACCTTGAGGCATCTTATGCTTTGCTTCCCATGGAAGAGGAGCTCAAAACTTATCAAGACGACCGTGAAACTACAACCCAAGACAAAATTACAGAGGAAGAGTATGCCAAGAAAACAGAAGTGCCAGCTGATGAAAATGGGGGAGATTTAGTTGCTGCAACGTTGGGAGAAGAGACACTGCTGAAGGAAGAGCCCAGGGAGCTCAAAATTTCTGAATTGGCTCCAAAAAATCTAGATGCTGATGAAATGAAAGAAGAAATCAAAAAATCTTTTGAAAAGGTGTCTAAATCTGATTCTCAAAGCGCTGAAGTTGTTTCGAGAGATGAGATGACTGCTTACCAGACAGAGCTGGCGGGAGATAAGGCCGTGGAGGGAAGCTTTCAAGTGCAAAGCCTTGAGGAAGCAGAACCAAAATTGAGAGTTGAAGATGAGAGTCGCGAATCAGAAGACCATCCTGAGAATGACAACATGATAGTTGAAGAGGTATGCAATATACAATACACAATATGATAACCATAAGCATGTGACCCATGTACAATTGTATAGAAACTCTAATTTCGTATTCTTTAACTCTTCCTTTTCTTTGCGAAGCCTCAACTGCTAGAACAGGTCGTGGATGAGCCAAAGAGCACTGATGGAGATTCCTGTGAAGGACAAACCACAAAACGCAATGCTGCAATTTGTACACCAGAAAGAATTCAAGAAGGAACTGCTAAGAACTCTCAAGACAGTGACAAAGAGACAGAAAACTCACAGGAAGAGGTCAGCTTATAAAGCCTACTTTGTCTCTAGGGAAATTATCGTTTGCCTGTTTCGAATATAAACTTATTTTTTATTCAGATACTTAAAGAGCTAGAGATCGCTGGAGTAGGTGAGAGCACCACATATGAAACGAATCAGATCAATAAAACATCTGAAGAAATTTTTGATGCTTCACCAGTGAAGTATGAAGAGGACGGCCGGGAGAATGTAGTAGTCAAGATTCAGCAAAAGCTTCAAAGGAGGAGGATGTTACTGAAGACGATGACAGTAATGGTGCAGTCACAGTTACTGAATCAAATGCAGAGGTAACATCAAAAGGGGAGGAAGATTCAGCACAGCCTTTGGAGAAATATGAACTTGAAGAAGAGAAGGTACCTGTCAAAATTAGTGATGTAGCAGATGCGAAAGAGGTTTGTGACGTGGAGGATAAATCTTCTTTTGCCGAAAAGACAACAGAAGAGACAAGCTTGCAAACAGAAGGGCATGCGGAGGTTTCTGAATTGGCTCCGGAAAAGCTAGATGTTGAAGCTACTGAAGAAGAATTCAAAGAAGGTTCTGAAATAGTTCGTGAATCTGATTCTAGGAGCATTGATGTAGTTTCAAAAGATGAGATCGCTACTAGTCAGACACTCGACGAAGGGATATCACAAGAGCAAGTTGAAATCCTATCGTCTACATTGCTTACTGAGGCAAAGGAGATCGAAGCTTCTCCACATGAGCATGAAACTCCAACCAGAGACAAGAATATAGAAAAAGAGCATGAACAGGGAATGCCAGCTGATGAAAACGCAGGAGATTTATCTGCTGTGAGGTCAGAAGACGAGACACCCTTGCCAAAGGAAGAGTCCGAAGAGCTCAAACCTTCTGAGTTGGCTCTGGAAAAGCTGAATGCAGGTGATACAGAAGAAGAAATCAAAGAAACTTTTAAGACAATCTCTAAATCCGATTCTCAAAGCACTGATGCAGTTCCAAAAGATGAACTTGTTGCTGATCAAACACACCTTGAGGCATCTTATGCTTCGCTTCCCAAGGAAGAGGAGCTCAAAACTTATCAAGACGATCAGTGAAACTACAACCCAAGACAAAGGTGTAGAGGAAGAGTATGCCAAGGAAACAGAAGTGCCAGCTGATGAAAATGGGAGAGATTTGGTTGCACCAACGTTGGCAGAAGAGACACTGCTGCAAAAGGAAGAGCCCGAGGAGCTCAAAGTTTCTGAATTGGCTCCAGAAAATCTGGATGCTGGTGAAACGGAAGAAGAAATCAAAGAATCTTTTGAAAAGGTGTCTAAATCTGATTCTCAAAGCTCAGAAGTTGTTTCGGGAGATGAGACGACCTGCTTATCAGACGCTCCATGAAGGTATATCAAACGAGCAACTTCAATTACCATCTTCTACGCTGGTGCCTGAGGAAAAGGAGATAAAAATTTCTGAACGTAAGCATGAAACTACAACCCAAGACAAGAATAAAGAAGATGGGAGCACAGAGAAAAATGAAGTTCCAGCTGATGAAAACACTAGAGATTTATTTGTTGCTGTAACTTCTGAAGAAGAGACATTCTTGCAAAAGGAAGAGCCTAGAGAGTTTAAAGCTTATGAGTTGGCTCTGGAGAAGCTACATGCTGGTGAAACTGAAGAAATCAAAGAAACTTTGGAAACAATCTCTATATCTAATTCTCAATGCATTGATACAGTTTCCAAAGATGATATTGTTGCTGATCAAACTCTTGTTGGGGCATCTTATACTTCACTTCCCAAGGAAAAGGAGCATGAGGCAGGTGAAAATGAAGTGCCAGCTGATGAAAATGGGGGAGATTTAATTTCTGCAAGGTCAGTCGAAGAGACAATCTTGCAAAAGGAAGAGCCCGGGGAGCTCAAAGTTTCTGAATTGGCTCCGGAAGAGCTGAATGCTGGTGAAACTGAAGAAGAAATCAAGAAAACTCCTGAAAGAGTGTCTAAACCTGAATCTCCAAGCACTGATGTAGTCTTGAGAGATGAGGCCATTTCTGAACAGACGCTCCACGAAGGAATATCAACAGAGAAACTTCAAATACCGTCTTCTGTATTGCTTCCTGAGGAAAAGGAGATCAAAGCTTCGGAAGAGCTTGGAACTACATTCTCTGACAAGAATATAGAAGACACCTCGAGCAATTTGCAAATGCAAGATGATGAGAACACAAAAGCTATAAGCACAGCGAAAGAGACAAGCTTGATAAAGGAAGAGCCGAGGGAACTCAAAGCTTCTGATTTTGAGCTTCACCTTACTCAAGAAGTACCAAGGGAAAGTTCAAATGAAGAGGTAATATATACAATTGGACTCACTCGTCATGTATTTATCTTCCTGCAGTTATCTATATGTTGAAGCAAAAGTATTAACTAGGGGTAACTTAACAGATCATGGAGGATGAGAAACTTCCAGAAGAGTCGGAGCCAGATTCTGTCAGAGAAGAGAGCCATCATGAAAACAAAGCAAAAGCTGAAAAACAAGGAGAGCAGACCGATGAACATCAGAACAAGGTCAGTGAATAGAAAACAAATGCTCCTAATTATTGTTTTAACATAAACTCTCATTACTTACAACTTTGAATCTTTAATCTCTAATCCAGTTGTCCGAGGTAGATGAAAAGGGAATTCCAGTGAGAAGTACGAAAGACAGCTCACATTTGAAGACTTAAGTATCAAGGAGCATGACCCATGTTTTGTGGAGGATAAGACAATACAAGACGGCTTTCCAGAAGAAGAGAAGAGAGTTGAGGAGGCAGCTTTTGAATTTGACCTCAAAAATCAAGAAGATGAAATAAACTCAAAGAGCAGCATAACAGAAGAAACCGAAATCGAAAAGGTCAGATTAAATCAAACACTCACTCCTTTCTTGCCATGCAAGTCATTTGTTAAACACAAAAATTATGCTTAATTAAAACAGATATTCCTCTCATCTTTCTAAAAGAATTTTTAATCTTCTTCCTTAACGATTTTTAATATGGTTAACGAAAAAAAGTCAACTTAGAAGCTTAACCATTTATCTAAAGCAGGACTTAAAGAATTCTCCAATTGTCGAAACTTCACAAGAGGTTGAAGCAAAGGATACTAAGTCAACCAATGATACATGCGTTGCTCCGGAAATCAAAGAAAGAATACAAGTGGGTACGCACTCGCCTGAGGAGAAAGAACCAACAGCGATTTCCAAAGAACAGAAAATTGAGGAAGACGAAGAAGAAGAGCACGAAAGTTCCGATGAGGTGAAAGTGGATGAAGAGAAAGGAGAAAAAGAACACAAAACCGGAGAGCCAGGATATGATTCCCCCATCATGGTAGAAGCCTCAAGAGATGCTGATGTCAATGTGAAGGTGGTTTCACATAAGAAGTCTAACCACATTCTTTCGGGTATCAAGCATTCGATTTCCAAGGTGAAGAAAGCCATCACTGGTAAGTCTTCTCATTCAAAGACAAAGTCAGAAAAATGAAGGGAAACAAAATGCAAGGATCCAGATGGATTCCAGCGGTTGAAGAATTGGGAGCTTTAACGAATTTTGTGGGTGTGCTAGCTTGTTCCAAGTTCCGATTGTTTTTGACGACATTGGAGAGGTTTGAGTGTGTAGTGTGTGATTGTGCAGCTTGAATAAGTTCATATTCATTGATTTGTAGAGTGAGCTAAATGTTTGCAGGACTGTAAATTTGTAATTTGTGTACAGTGTAGGGCGATTGTATATGTTTCTCACTTCGGCTTTTTGAGTGAAAAGTGAAAGTTTTCAACATCTAGTCACAATTTTCATTTTTTAGTGTAGATCAGACGATGGTACAAATAGATGTACAAATAGATGGTAAGAATCATATTAAATGGTTCTTCACTTGTCTACCCATGAACCGTTATACTTTTAACTCAAAAGAGAAAACATTGGCTTGTAAAATTATATTTTCGAGTAATGCTAGGTAAATCAATTTTTTTAGTCCTCTGGATTTTCAAGGGCAGTGGGAGGCACACTGGACACCACGTGACGTGCGGTGCTCTTCCTGCTGCTGAATAGAAAAGATAACTCTTCCTAAGACCCCTCGCTAACGTCTTTGAACTCCCTAATGTTGACGTCAGCCACCGCGTTCCAGTTCAAGAAATTTAACCCGAATCTTTTCCTGGAGTTTGCACGAGATGCCTCATGTGAGTCATATTTGTAAACCATGTAATGCGTGACTAACAAAAAAATAAGCAAACCAAACAACACTTAATTTAATTATATTATCAACTACGCCATATAATTTACAAGTATGATTTAAATAAGTAATCTCTGTAGCATTATCCTATTTTTTCACACCTCTACAGTACCAAAAGGTTTTAAGAAACTTCACTATAAAGAAAGGGCATATTATGTCAACACTTGTGTAAATTGGCGATAATTATAACAGCTTCAATGTTGGGAGTTCAAACATAACTAGATATTACAGAAGTTACTCAAGTCAACAATAAAATTAAACACAAAAATTTCCATGGCCGCATCAACACTCTTCAGATTTTTGTGCTCTGACAACAGCACGTCAATAACAAAACCATACAGCGCAGTTTTCTTGACTGCCTTAGCCCTCCGTTTACTTTTGGGATTCTTTAAGTTTTCTCTTCCGTTCCCTGATGACTTCGACGTGGTCCTTCTTTCGTTTTTTGCCTTTCTGTATTAACGAAGCACCCAAGAATCATTGATTTGAAACAAGGTACACGCAGCAATTTCTCATGTTTTCAGAAAATCCACGAAAATAGCAGGAAATTATCAATAAACTTACCTCCATAGCTTCAAGCACACCCCTCTTCTTACGGGACATTAACATTTTAGACATATTGTCACGATCAGTATCAGGATCAAACTCTTCCGCATCCTCGGTGGTATCCTTGGCAGAGTTCTGATTATCTACATTCGAGGTAGATGATGGATGTTGGATGCCCTGAAGCTCCATATTCAATTCGTCATGATACTGCTTCTCAAGAGCCATCATCTGTATCACACCAGAATTCAGTTAGCACTTAGCATCAATCAAGACTAAGTGATAGGGTCTCTATGCACATGACGAAATCACATAGCAGAAAAATAACACATCTCAGCATCATTATTTAAAACCTGTTTACCTTCTTCTTTCTCTCAGCAGCTTCTTTTGCTTTTGCTCGGTCAATGACACCTTCAGCCAGTAAATTCTGAGAATCTTCTAAATCTTCCTGTCCCACACCTGGCATGAGGGAGGACTTCACCACCAGACTTCCATTTTTTGATGGTCTCAGCATAATCCGGAACATAACCTTCGGCCTCATTGTCAACAAATGGTGACAAGTGCGGGGGAGGATCCCTGTTAAAAGAGCACCCAAATTAACAATCTTACCATCTGAAACTATTATTATCGAACTATAAAGAGAAAGGGTAAAGGTCTATCCATCCATGTAACCAAGGTGTGTACAAACAAACATATTAGCGGATGCAGTAGAACTTACTAAATGAAATAATAACTAGTCATTTCACCAGGGTCCAAGGCAGAGAGGTTAACAGCTAAACAAAACAGTAAAAAACATGGACTGATATACATGGAAGGCAAAGAAAAATGTCTCCTAATATTACCTTCCCGCCAAATAACCCCCAGTAGGCAAAATGATCCGAGCATTTATACAGTCATAAACCCATTGTGGTTGAACATATTCCCTGGCAAGGGTCTGACGACCATGCATTGGCCGGTCAACAATCTGGAAAATATAAAAACAGTGTTGTCAGCTTATAATCAGTTCTTTTCGGTTTTTACTTTTTTCATTTATTTATTTATTTTTCTGTGGGGAAAAGAAAGAGAGACACCACAGAACAGCCAACGACTCAGCCTTAAAAAACCAAGTAAATGTAAGGGTATACCTGATGGGTAATACTGTCATCCGCTTCCTCAAATGGAGCCCCTTCACCTTCCCAGGAAACAGTGCCACCAAAAGCAGGAATGATGAAAAGCAACGACTCTCTGTAAACCTGAATATAGAAAAAAGATTAACGTAATAAACTCAGACATAATTCTATTGCCCATCAACTAGATGAACCAAAGTTGCTTCATATTTCCATATCAACCAAGATGTGATTTGCACTTTGGTTATTTTTTAAAAGATAATTTATAACGTTTTTTAAATAAGATCTACCAAGTTCAAATTTAAACTTTAAGACTCACCTCACGGTTCAAGAAAAATTTCATATCCTTGAAGAGTTGCTTACACTCCTTTGTATCATTATCCTCTTCATCCTTGCTAGAAACATCTTTAACAAGGTGCATTAATGCACCTGGTTCATTCGAAGGCAGTTGATGCTGAAGTTGGGCAAGTCTTAGTTCAGACTCTTCAACCGAAGTTTCAATCTTCTTGTTCTCACCATTCCCAGAAGACAAACTAGAAGCTTGAGGATCCAACACAGCGGACCGAGAATTTGCATCGAGGTATCTTGCTAGTGCATAAAGTTCTGAAAAGTTGAGAAAATCCATTAATAGATAGACAAGCTAGGAACTTGTAATATCATAAGCAACTAGTATAAATTCTTACCTGCTGCTAAAGCTTCCAATCGAGAATCAAGAATGGGTGGGTATTTCACATCTATGGAATGATATAAATGACAATTCACAAAGGCAAGAAGAGCCTGCACCATAGGGAGGGCGAGAGTTCATTTCAAGTAATTGGTTAGTTGGAATGAACCACATTTTTGCAGCACAGATGACAAAGGAAAAATTGAAATACAAAGAAATATAACCTCATAGAATTCCAAAAAGTTTAGCATGATATTGAAGTCGATATCATCAGTCAAAACTTGCTGCAAAGGGTGAGGGGTCAACCATGTAACCTTTTGCCCCTTAACTTCGGCCTGCATGGACAAACAATGCAAGAATTTATACCCAAATAATATAAAATGCCCAGTTAAAGATTTCAATAAGCAATGTACAGTACATAACCATACCTGATAATATATGCCTTTAACAGATACAAAGACTTTACGCAACTTATGAGTCCGAGATATATAAGCTTGCCATTCGTGACTCAACCTGGTAAGAAAGCAACATCTATATTAAGGGAAGATTCCACAAAATGATGAACTCCTAGAAGTATTTAAGCATCATATCATACTTCGGAACACCTTTTGTTTAGAAAGGTTCAAATATCTACCTCCGACAGTTATGAATGCGTTTCACATCAATTCTGTCCTCAATAGCAGGTAATGCTGCAAAGAGGTGAACCATTGTGAGGCAGTCGTCTATATCTCTAAGTGCGTCAACAAATTTTGGATACCTGCAGTTCCAAACATACCAAAAAACAACAGTCAGAAGCTCTATATACAATAACACACACAACTAACTTTTTAACAATAAGAAAAAGTCAACAAACCTCTGCAAAATAATTCTATCTAATTTGTAAGTGGGTCTTCTCTCTTTCAGAAGAGCAGTGCGCTCCTTGTTCTTCTTCGCATCCGCTTTCTTTACTTTCCTTTCGTATGCCCTGATCTCTCTCAACCGCTCGAGCAGCGGTTCATGCTGAATGAAAGAAACATCCTTCAAGTGATAATAAGTATGGTGATTTCCTTTCACCTTTTTCTTCGGCTCCCGAGGGAACACACCCTTTAGAATACACAACTTCCTATAATTTCCAAAATCACGAACATGAATTAATTCATCACACAGCTTACTTTTCTTTCCCAACAAAACAGTAATGGTAATTGAACCGATAAATCCGAATCATACATAAACCCTAAGCCATAAATATTCATAAAATACATAAATAATATGAAAATACAGAAATTACAAGTTGAATACCAGAGACAAACCTGAAGACGGGAAGGCTGACTTGAAGCTGCTTGACAGCTTGTGACCTGGTGACGTACCTCGCGGCATTTCCTTCCTTTTCTTTCCCTGCAAATTACGAGGGAAAATCAACGGCAAAGTGTGAGAAAATGGTAAAATTAAATATTGGAAATTTTAATTACATATATATATATATATAGGTGAGCTTATCGGAGACGGAGTAGGTGAATTCGAACTTACAGCAGGCCTGTAATGCTTATGCTTCACCGGGGCGGCAGGGTGCTTGACCATGGCGGCTGCGCGGGGAGGGCGGGAGTTGGAGAGAGAGAGAAAGAGAGCGCGCGGAGGCTGAAGAGACTGTAATGCAGAGGTTTAGGTTAAGACTTAAGCCGAACCGACTTTCATACGGGTCGGGTTGGCGAGCTCGGGTTATCGAATAAATTGTTAATTTATAGTTTTGGGGCTGTTATGGAAAGAACTTACAAATCCATTTTGTATGGGCTTTTAATTGCAACAACAAAATTGACTTGGGCTTATCTCAGAGGTGTGCACATTAAATGGGTCTAAATTAATCGTTCTTTTAAATGATTAAAAACGATTTTAAATAAAATATTTTTAAAATTAATTTTTACTTGGAATGGAAATTAATTCTAGAAAAAGCATTTAAGTTATGTGTTTCTTATTGAAAGCATTTAAGGTGTTTTTTTTTCTTCTCTAAAAGCGCTTTCAATTATTTATGAACACTTCCCAAACAAGTCCGCAAATTGCCATTTAGTACTATTAGTTAGTAGTATTCATCTTCACTTGTAAGTAAGAGGTCTTAGGTTCGATTCTCATCAAAGATAAACTTGAACCATATTATTACCAGTCATTATAAAGTTTAGCCCATTCCCTATCCTCTTAATATAAATAATATTGTTTGTTAAAAAAAAAAAATGTGACTCCCACGTTAAAATCGGAACCCAAGGGTAATTACTAAAAAGGAAAAATGATAGAAAGCAAAATAGTCTTTACCAATAAGAAAATAAATAAAGAAAAACTAACGAAAAAATTTTAAAACTTTTAATTTTAATAAAAAATGACAATAAAAGTATAATGAATAGTAAATTTTTTTTATTAAAATAAACGGTACAAAAAATATTTCGTTAAAACTTCAAATAAATAAATCCTTGGCGCGAGCTGATATCCGCCAGACTTTCAGCAATTACATGAAATTCATTTTCCCGCCAAACTTCACTCGCGCCAAGTCCGAAGGACATAAACAAAAGAAGAAGAAGAAGACAAGCCCTAATTCTTCATTTCTTTCCCGGTCGCCAGAGTTCCCTCCTCCAGCAGCTCCGCCGTCTGCTGCCGTCTAACGATTCTTCAGTCGAACTTACGGTCTTAGGGTTTCGATGGAGATCTCAAAGCCCCAATCGTTCTTCCAAGACATCAGATTCAGAGAGCTCCACGGATTCAGAGGTTCTCTCTCTCTCTCTCTCTCTCTCTCTCTCTCTCTCTCTCTCTAAATCTACACTTTTTAGTAATTTGTTAGGGCATCTCACGATTACTAAGCGCTGTGTTTTTGTTCCAGCTCGGAAGCGGCGGTACGTCAATGGCCTAGAATCGGATTTCTACGAAATTGGCGCCATCGCTGCAGAGCACAATGGCCCTCCGATGTCAATCTCGTTCGGCAAGGTATAAAATCTGTTCGTCTCAGCGTTTCTGAATCGCGAATCGTACTTTTTTTGACACCGAGAAATTGTGGTTTTCTTGACATACTTTTGCTTTCGGTTTCTGTGTAGACTTGGAAAAGCTCACACATCATCGCCATGTCCGACGAGGACGGGTACCTGAGCCTGTTTGATACGCGCAGCAAATTCTCTGCATCTGCATCTCACCAAGAAAATGCAGGTTGATTAATTGGAGATCGAATCCATCGATTGATATAGACTGCTGATATTGATACTGTTTGTGTTGTATTGTGAGTAACTTGGTCTTTGGGTTATTGGTTTCAGATAAAACTAAGGTTTGCGATTGGGTTGCACATCATAACACTGTGTTTGATATCTGTTGGATTAAGGTATAATACATAACTTTTTCCTCTAATTTAGAATTATTATCTCAATAACCTTCAATTATATAGAACTTCATATATGCTGCACACAATAGTTGATTGAATGGTGAAATGCGGAAGCTGGAATTCTTGTGGAGTAAAATTTTACATATGAACTATTAGAAATTGGGAAGTGATATTGCTGTTACTATGTCAACTGAAAAACTGAAGATGTTGCTGTTAATCAGTTACTAACAAAAGAGCAATCCTTTGTTTTGAAGTACTTTTGGTGTTGATTTGGGAGGCGGGTTAAACCGTTAAAGAATTGGAGAACCAAATTTAAATTGCAAAGTTTTCATCTTTTTAGTGTTAATGTGTTTTTTGCAATATAAATATTTTTGCAGGATGATACTCAAATTATGACAGCTTCCGGCGATCAGACTGTAAGTGATTAAGTTCTAGTCCAGCCCGTTTACTTGTGTAGAGTACAATCTGAGCAATGGTTTCATTTTCGTTAACCTGATAGGAAATGAGATTGAGGTAATTAGGAATAAATTCTAACTGCAATGTGCTATAAATAACAGATAACTTAGGAATACAAAGTTATGAAATATGGTATAGCTTTTAAGAAAGTTGCATTTAAGTATTTCTCGCTTCATATCACAGCTATTTCAGTTTCTTAAGATTGTGTTTTTCCTTGGGCCTTTCCTATTTTCTCCCAGATCAAGGTATGGGATATTCAGGAAAAGAAATGTACTGCAATACTGATGGGGCACACAGGAAGTGTGAAATCTCTGTGTCCTCATCCAACTAATCCCGGTATGCTTATATTTTCATCTGTGTGTGGGTTTTTGTAATTTAATTTGCTTGTGCTATTTTGTGTTACGACTAATGAGAAATACAACTAATTTGAAATAATTCTTCTTATCCGACAGAGGTTATTGTCTCTGGCTCGAGAGATGGCTCGTTTGCTCTTTGGGATATGAGATGTACTTCAAGCTCCAAAAATATGCAGGGGGAGGTTTCTATATGGTAAACAAGTTCTTGTAAAGTATATTTTCATTGTCGTGATCAATTTGATTTTAATTTATTTTCCAGTTCTAATTTATAACAATTTCTGGCAGCTCAACTGCAGTGGTTAAAGGGGCTCATATTGTTCCACGGGCAAAGCGTGTAAGGCGCAGAAAGGTTTGTTTCTGATAATGGCTCGTCTTAGTAAATTGTTATGTACTCTTCATTCAGACTTCAGCTTTTCCAGGCTGTTTCCATGAGCATCACATCAGTTCTTTATCTTAAAGATGAGGTCTCCATTGCTACCGCCGGAGCTGTGGACAGGTATGTAGGAACACTGGCAATGACATAGAATAACCGAACGCCATTTTCCTTGTTAAAGTTATATCATACTAATGTGATCTTATGGTTCATTTCAGCGTTGTAAAGTTTTGGGATACCAGAAGTTTGAAAAATGTTGTCACACAGACATGCCCTCAACCGGAGTCAACTGAGAAGGTATGTCTGGAACCGTGATAGAGTTTTTTCTGTCCGCCTTGATGATATCAGGATCATTGCTGGTTTATGGTTTCTTATATTATAAGGATTAAAAAACCCGAAACAAAATAAAAACAGCCAAAGGCTCATGACAGCTTAGCAGAAAGCCTGCAACAAGCAACCATCCTCTTGCTCATACACTTACTGAAATAAACAGTCCATGGTTTCAATATGTACTCAGTCAGTTGTTATGATAGTTGGACATTGGCAACCTCCAACTATATAGATATATATGATGATGTCGTGATAGCGAGCAATTCTTTTCACTTCAGGAAAGACGATTGCACGGTATAACTAGCTTATCCCAAGATTTCAATGGAGTGTTGCTTTCAGCGTCATGCATGGACAACAGGTATCTTTGGCTCTTATAAGCACATCTTTTTCTTTTTTGTGAACTGAATCGCCTGCTCAAAACACCATTATCAGAAATTTGGTGCCTTGAGATTTCAGCTCATATCCCCAGTACGATCAACCATCAAATTAGTAGCTCCTAGCATAAGAAACCAGAATTGCTTTCAAGTCTTGGAGAGTTACTGTGCATCATATATATAATATGCGGACATCGTATAAACTATCAAATTTTCAGCCTATAACGCTCATTTTTCCCTTATGTTTTCTCGTCAGCATATATTTGTATAACGTACTTCAGCTACATAAGGGTCCTGTGCAAGCGTTCACCGGATGCCGGATTGAAACATTTTTTGTCAAGGTAAACGTTGCTGTTTACAAGTGCAGTGCACTAATCCAGTTTGTGCGATTTCCCACCTACTTACACGTCTTCGTTTCAATCATGTAATTGCAGTCAGTTATTAGCCCCGACGCTGCTCACATAGTCAGTGGCTCGAGCGATGGAAATGCCTATATTTGGCAGGTAACATTGTTTTTTAAAGCGCTATTGTTACTGGTGTTGGATCGAGAATGACACTATTGGCAACTGCCAACCAGGTAAACAAGCCTCAGGAAGATCCCGTGGTATTGAAAGGCCATGACAGGGAAGTTACAGCAGTAGATTGGTATGTTTTCTCTCCTACCCGAATGCTGCTGGTTTTCGATTTTTCTTGACAAATGACTGAACCTTTTTGCGACTTCGAATAGGTCCCAGTTTGAGGTCGGGAAGATGGCGACGTCGTCAGATGATTTTACGGTATGCAGGACAGAGTCACAGTTCATATATAAGATTGTACATTCATCAAATTTCACAATGCATTTGCCATTTTCTATAAGGAAAACTAATGTAAAGTCTAAAAAAACTTTAGTTTTAATGAAAAAGGACAGAAAGGTAAAAATGTGGTATTTCGTTAAAAGTGAACAGTACTAGAAATGTTTCGTTAAAACTTCCTTTTCTATAACGTTTTAGATTCAACTTTCAACTTTCACTTGTATATTTCATCTCGATAGGTTCGCATTTGGAACTCTCAGAATAGTTACTCCACAAGCACAAGCTCACCATCTACAGTTCGAAGAAGAGTTATGGCAATCCCAAGCGCAGAGTGTAGAAAGCTTCTGATGCGTGAATCAACGATACATACCTCAAAGGTTTCCGGAAATTTGTGTCCATCAGCCGAAGGATTAGACGAAACAAACTCACTAAATCCAATTAGTATGCCCAAAATGAGTACTCCCCCGTCACAGAAGAAACAATCTATGTCGGATCCTGACTTTAGCAAGACCTTCGAGAAGACCCCTGAAGCTGCATCGGAGAGCCCGTCTTCTGTTCTGAACCCTCCCTCCTCCCTAAAAAGGAAAACAATCCGTGATTACTTTGGAGTACCTCCCTTAAACTTGTAGGCTCTCTTTTTCCTTGGGTTTATTGTACAAAGTGCTGACATTCCCTCTGAGTCTACTGCTTCATAACCGGATGCATCAACCCTGCTTTCAGATTATTTCAACAGTAAGTGCAAAAAAAATTTCCCCGACACTTTGTTTCCTCGAAATCTCATTCTTAGTTTCGAAGTTCTATTTTTTCTGGTTTGATTTTGTGCAGGTTTCTATAAGGAATTTAAAGCGCATACAGAAGATTTTTACAGGTGAAAATATCACTCTCATCGCATTGTATTTTTGTGCCATAAGTAACTAGGGTGTGATTTCAAATACAGTTTTAGATGCTTACTTAGCAAATCTGATGAGTTCTTACGCATAGTCATCCATCCGAACTTCGACCCTCTAAAAGATTTTGTATGCTCTCAACTGCCTTGTAGACATCATCAGGGAAATCTCTCAATGCAACTTCCTTCCCCATGTCCACTATACGCCTAGTGACGTTCAGGATACGTTGCACACGATCCTGTAACAAATAATAACCAAATACGAGTGAATGCAATTTCGACAACAATTTCTACTCAAATTAAAATATTTACTATTTACCTGATAGTATGATGTGTGCGAGGTATATTGTGGGTCAAATGAGGAAGTACTATGTGCTGGGTTGTGAACATAAGGATGAGATACTCTGTGGTACCAGTCCACGTACCCGAGACAACATCTGATGCAACGCTAACTGGGGTGCTTCGGTTATTTTGATGCAAGACGTGATTCTGCCACCCATCCCACATCCCATCAATGTATTCATATAATACCTTGTTAACTGATGCATGAGTTGCTCTTGTGCTTCGAGGAAGGACACACGGTGCCTTTGGAATTGTCTGGACACGTCCAAACTGCCTAAGTACCCTCTCAGGACAGTAAGGCTCGACAACGTCAAAGCATTTTAACATCCCAGTAAAGTATGTTATCTCATGAAATGGATGTGCTTGTCTTCGAGATGTGTAGGGTTCCCAGGTGACCTGAAAAAGATACATATACATGCATTAGACATAATGGTATCACTACAAGTTATATTTGATCAGTAACGCCTAATATGTCCGTACCTGGTTGGCTGTCAAAGAATCTAACTTTTTCCTCATCTTCTGCAAGTCATCTGTCGTGGTTCCACTAGACGTTCGTGGCTTCCAACGACAAGCACGAGGGTCAATATCAGAGTAATTTTGGTCATAATTAGGGCTACAAATTAGATGCATGTGTTCGTACACCCATGCCTCTAACAAGGTCATATAGCCACTCATTTGCTTGACCTTAGATCTAGTCGATTGCCCTAACTGACGATATAACCAAGCTAGTGCACTAGCACCCCATGCATAGCCTCTTACAGCATCAAGATCCCTAAGTAGTCTTAGATAAGTAACATGTACCCTAGTCCCGCTTTTGTCCACAAAAAGAGTACATCCCAACAAGTACAACAAGTAAGCCCTAGCTGCACACTTATTTGCTTCCGTTGTGTCTGTATCACTCACACCTTCAAAATATTTTCGTAACCAAGAAAGAGTCACATATTCTTCATTGAACTCGCTCAAAGCCTCGGTTGCCTCCTCGTCATTAACCCCTAATAACTCTACCAATAGTTCATGATTACTCATGACATCATCTGCTTGTAAAGAGATCGCCTTGCCTGTGATAGGAACCCCTAAAAAGGAAATTGAAATCAGTAAAATTTTAATCTGCGTAAAGATACAATTTTGATATTATGCAATCATAAAATTTTTTTCCTTCTTTTCTTATACCTATGAGGTTTGAAACGTCGTCTAAAGTAATGGTCATCTCACCAAATGGTAGGTGAAAGGTATTAGTCTCTGGCTGCCAGCGCTCAACAAAAGCAGAGACCACTATCTTATCAACAATTCGATAAGTACACTCCAGCAGCGGTAACAAACATGACTCTGTAATGTACTTCCTAAAAGTGTTATTATTTTGCTTGTCCTGCCATTTCCATTCTTTCAGTGTATTCCACTTGGACATGCACCTTAGCGGACCACGTTCCTTTTGACAAAAATCAAATATGATATTTAGATTGAAAATATGGAACAGGTAAGTTGCTAAAATGCTATTAGGTACCCAAACTAACAATACCTCATTATTCCAAACTGCCGCAGCAACATGACTCTTAAAACTCTTTAGCAATGATGTATCTGTTGGCCCTCCTGGAAAAGGTTCTGTCGCTTCGGCATCAACGCCAACATCTATATCGTCTGTAGCTGTACCTGAGACGTTGGCCCCAACATTTGTATCGTCTGTAACTAAGACAATGGCCCCGACATTTGTATTGTCCATAGCTTGGATGTCGTCCACAACACCATCCACAGATGGTTTATCCTCTACAGAATCATCAACCACCTCTGATTCATTAGAGGAGGCAGCCTTTCGCTTTCGCACAGATGCAGGGGGATGTACCGGAACATTTTTCTCATTAGCAATACTTTTCTTAGATGATCTTGCAGCCTCCTTGGTTTTTCTTGCCTTCTTCATAGCTAGAATTAATTAAGAAAAGTAAAGAGAAAATACAAGGAATCATTTTCTGGTGTTCTGATAACAAATAAAAGGTAGAATATAACTGGACACTTGAAAGGAACCTATTACACTTAATCATGCGTCGATGTAGAAATTTTGTCAGAAAGTGAAACGTTCATGTATGTATAAACAACAAGAACAACCACCGAACCTTATCCCACTAAGTTGGGTCGACCATATGAATCTTACAACGCCAATGCGCTCTGTCACACAGGTACAAGTACAACACAATCAATTAGCAGACTGCTCTGCTTTGTAATTGCTAAATCGCTGCCCTTTCAAATGATTTATCGTTTAAGAAATGTCGTTTAATTAGCCACTTGTGAGTTTAATTAGTAATACATTAATTTGGTAACCAATTTTCTACGGTTTCATATTCAAAATTGTGAACTTTTTCAGAAACCTAAAAGCCCTAAATGGACAGAAACGGAGAAACCCAGAACCTCAAATTTGACAGAAACCCTAAACCTCCAAATTGACAGGAACCAACAAGTGCCGAGCAGAAGATGATAAACAAAGCAAACGAAGTAAAAATTGAAGAATCCAATCGACTGGTATGAAAGAAGATTGAATAGAACAAATGGGTTGCGTACCTGATTCTTCTCCAGTCACGACGTTCGTGGCAAAAGACTTCCGCGCGCTGTGTTCTACTACTAGGTGAGGACCAAGACAATTTTTTGGAAGTAAAAGTAAACATTAAAATTAAGTGTCTGACGACAGAAAATGCTACCAAATTCTGAGACAACTTTTTGTATATCGAAAGATGTGGTGACTTACAAACAAAGAAAACTTCGTTATAATTCTTGATAAATATGACTTTTACATTAAAATCATGTGTAAGATAAAAATCTACATCTCTTGATACATTAATAATTTCATTTATTAATTATATTTTAATTTTTTCTCTTTTTCTTTCTATTTTTTAATGTATAAATTTTATTTCATTATAATTATAATTTTCATTTCATTTATTGTAATATATTTTGTTGTAAACATTTAGATAAACTAATTTTTGTTATACAATATATTTCGATGTACTTTGTCTTCTTTATTTAGGTATATTAAATTCATTATAATACATTTCAGCATATATATTTAAGTACACATATTTCGGTACATATATTTCAGTACACATATGAGTCTTTCAAGTTTGAAGAATGTTAAATAAAATTAATAAATTAAAAAAATTCTTTTTTGGCCAAAAAATAAATTAAAATTTCTATGTTAATAAATTTAAATATTTAATAAGAGACATTAAATAAAATACACATTAATTATTTTGAATTAAGGACTACATCAAGGGATTATAATCAATATGTAATCTAACACTAGATTTATTTTAAATTTCAATCTTCTTGAATGATTAAAGTTAAAAAACACCTTTACAAAATACTACCAAAATGCTACATGACTTGATTTACAAAACATAATCTAAAAATTTAGTTTTTCCAGCATCACCAAAAAAATAAATAAATAAATAAAATAAACACAAGATCCTGGGAGGAAATGAATCCATTGTTTCGATGTTTTTGGAAGGGTAGTGCCACTTGTGTAAATTTTAAAAATGTTTTTTTAGCTAAAATGGTTCATGAGATTAATATAATTCTGCACTTTACTTCCTAAAATTTGAAAACAATAGAAGGATCCTGAATTTGTCCATCATCAATTATTTTGGTCATTCTGTGAAAAATTTCCATTAAATAAGAGAAAATGACAAAAATACCCTTATTTTTTGTCAAATCATTTTGATCAATTATTTATTAAATTGAGGTTTTTTTTTTTTTTTTGGTCATTTTGATAATACTTTAACATAAATTTTTCATAAAAAGACCAAAATAATTGATTGTGGACAAATTCAAAGATTATTTCTATTGATTTAAAATCTCAAGGATCAAAGTGAGAAGTTATACCAATCTTAGAGACCAAAACCTTCCTTCAGTTTGAGGCTTTCCTCGAAGCACACTGACATATACTCGATTTCTTGGTCGTTAATCGGCATGACTGAGACTTCCAGAGGAAGCACAAGGAGGCAAAGCCCCACGCAAACCCCTAAAGGCACAGCAGATCGAAATCCACACACCACTCAACCACCAGTTTAAAAGTAGGAAAGAGCTCTGATGCACTAGATCTAAGCACGAGCAGAGTGAACGGCAGGAAAGGAGCCAACGGGGAAGGTTAGATAAGGGAGGGGAGTGATAGGAAGGAGAGAAAGGAGAGCCATAATTTAAGGATTTAGTAGTGTTAAAAAGCCATAAATGTTAGTCAAGGTTATGCTGCACTCATCAACAAAGAAAGCCAACATGGTAAACTTTGGTGCACTAAGCAAAACTTTGTTGCACTAAGCAGACCTTTAAAGCCCCGTTTAATATTGTTTTTTTTTTTCTACCGAAAACTGATTCCTTTAAAGTTAACCAATAAAAAAATGGTGGGTAAAACTAAAATATCTTGCTTATTTTAAAAGCAATGACTTATTGACATCAGCTTTTGAAAGCTATTTTCATAAAAAGCTGAGTTGAGCCTTTAATGAGTATTTTTAATTTCTGTAATATCCTCATTAGTTATATAAATTGACATTATTTATCCTTCTACACACATTTTATCCCTTAAAAAAACAAAATGACCATCACAACCTTTAACTACAAACACTAACTTACACCACCATTGCCGTTACCGCCATTACCACCACAATTGCTTCCACCACCACTACCACCACCACAGTCACCAGCACACCCGTAACTACCGCAACAACCCCAACCACAACCACTACCGCCGCCACCACCAACGCTGTTGCTGCCACCCTACCACCATTGTTACCTCTACACTCCCAACCACCACACACCACTACTAGCACTACCAACATAACCTTACCATTGTTGCTACCATCATCCCCACTGCCACCACCACCATAGTCGTCACCACCACCCGCATTGCCATTTTCATTTTTATCATTATATACAATTATATCACTTTTACATTAAAATTTACCAAATGATTACATTATTTGTTCATACTCACGACACTTGTAAAAAATACAATTTATCAAACATTCATCTGCTTTATTTTACAGTCGGTTATTTTTAAAGTACAATGGAAGCGATCAGTCCAAATACACAAACCAGCATTAAGAACTTGAGAGCAATTCCTTAGTGCAACCTTGGGCATCCATTTGCCAATCTAGTGCTGGACAAAGAATGTTGTGCAATTTAGGTGGTGATAACTTCTACATAGTATGGCAACTGCCAATTTTTATTAGCGTAGGCGCCGTAGCTAAACTTCCTTGATACTGTTGTTTTGATCCTTAAATTAATTTGTAGGTAAAGTGTGGCTTCTAAATTCTTAGGTCTCAGGTAGGCTTACTTGATACTGCTACTGTAATCCTTAAATTAATTTGTAAGCAAAGTATGGCTTCTAAACTTCCAAGTGTCGAAAGTTAAGATTCCATATATACTTTGGTTCACTATTTCTTTCTTTGTTTTCATATACAAACACATGATCATGATCTACCTATACTAAAATCTCCATTGGATAAATTGACAGATTGAGCATGGTAGTAGAATTGAGCAGATCAGAAAACTAAGGTATCTATCATCAAAATTAAAGTATTAAATGTATATGAAAGGTTCTCTTGGTTTCCTTGTGCGTAAGGAATGTATGGTCACTCATTCTTGAATTTAATATCAAGGGTGGAACTGTCAAGAATAAATGAAAGTGCTTTTAATCTCAAACTTTGATATCAAATTCAAGGGTTAGTGATCATGAACCTTTGATCATCAGATGACCAAGAGAACGAGACTCGATCTGTTGATCACCATCTTTGCTTATTTCTTTTATATTCCTATTTAAAATTTTAATTTTTTCCATATAATCCCGGTTTCCCAATAAAGTTTTAATCTCAAAACCTTGATATCAAATTCAAGGATTAGAGATTGTTGCGTGTGTTGAGTGTCGAATGATAAAAGTTGGGTGTGAAAAGATTGTCGTGTAATGGTGCTAATTTGATCCTTAAATTAATTTGTACTCTAAGTATGGCTTCTAACTCCCAACTAGGCTTACTTGATGCTACTCCTTTGATCCTTAGATTAATTTGTAGGCAAAGTATGGTTTCTAAATTCCTAGGTCCCAGCTAGGCTTACTTGAGACTACTGCTTTGATCCTTAAATTAATTTGTACGCCAAGAATGGCTTCAAACTCCCAACTAGGCTTACTTGATATTGCTCCTTTGATCTTTAGATTAATTTAGAGGCAAAGTATGGCTTCTAAATTCCCAGGTCCCTGCTAAGATTACTTGATACTGGTGCTTTGATCCTTATATTAATTTGTACGCCAAGTATGGATTCTAACTCCCAGCTAGGCTTACTTGATACTGCTCCTTTGATCCTTAGATTAATTTGTAGGCAAAGTATGTGTTGACCCTAAAAACTAAATTTTGGGTCCAAACAGTATGACTTCAAAATTCCCAGTCCCAACTAGGCTTACTTGATAATGCTCTTTGATCCTTAAATTACTTTGTGCGCCAAGTATGGCTTCTAACTCCCAACTAGGCTTACTTGATAATGCTCTTTGATCCTCAAATCCTCAAATTAGTTTGATCCTTAAATTAATTTGTACTCTAAGTATGGCTTCTAACTCCCAACTAGGCTTACTTGATGCTACTCCTTTGATCCTTAGATTAATTTCTAGGCAAAGTATGGTTTCTAAATTCCCAGGTCACAGCTAGGCTTACTTAATACTACTGCTTTGATCCTTAAATTAATTTGTATGCCAAGAATGGCTTCAAACTCCAAGCTAGGCTTACTTGATATTCCTCCTTTGATCTTTAGATTAATTTGTAGGCAAAGTATGGCTTCTAAATTCCTAGGTCCCCGCTAAGATTACTTGATACTGGTGCTTTGATCCTTAAATTAATTTGTACACCAAGTATGGCTTCTAACTCCCAGCTAGGCTTACTTGATACTGCTCCTTTGATCCTTAGAGTAATTTGTAGGCAAAGTATGTGTTGACCCTAAAAACTAAATTTTGGGTCCAAACAATATGACTTCTAAATTCCCAGGTCCCAGCTAGGCTTACTTGATACTGCTGCTTTGATCCTTAAATTAATTTGTGCGCCAAGTACGACTTCTAATTCCTGGCTAGGCTTACTTGATACTGCTCATTTGATCCTTAGATTAATTTGTGGGCAAAGCATGGCTTCTAAATTCCCAGGTCCCAGCTAGGCTTACTTGATATTGCTGCTTTGATCCTGAAATTAATTTGTACGCAAAGTATGGCTTCTAACTCCCAGCTAGACTTACTTGATACTGCTCCTTTGATCCTTTGATTTATGTGGTATGAAAAATATGGTAAGTATAACATTACTCAATTAATAAAAATGAATGTAGAATAACATGTCAACTTACTATTATTAAAAAAATGGTAATAACATATTTTTCTTTGTAAAATACAATGTTTATTTGTAGTTTTACTACTTTGATTAATATTTTCAAGTACTTCTAAAGTTAGATTGCAATAACAAGACTTGACATTGTAAAACGGGGACAGCTGATTAATTTGTTCCATGTCGATCCATAAGTGTACATCAATAAAATAAGGGAATAGTTATTAGCATTCTAAATTATCATCTCCTCACAAATGTTTTTTTTCTAATTATAGAAAGTTTAGACTACAAAATGAGATTTTTAGAGTACTAATAACAAATTCTTAAAATAAAGTACAACTTCGTATTGAAAAGGGGAATCTGGATTGCAAAATGAAATTATCAGCACAATATGATATCTTATCCTTGACTATATTAGTATATCTATATATGTTGCAGCGCCAATGCTACAGATCACCAATTCAAGCTGAAGCATTTTCTGAAGGCTTCCCCATTTCAATTGTAAGTAGTTAATTCCTTATACTTGGCTTAGTATTTCTTTCTTTATTTTCTCATACACATACATGATCGTGATCTAACTAATAAAATCTGGTTTGGAAAAATTGACAGATTTAGAAGCATGGCAGCTGCGTCTAGTAATGCAATTGTTCCTCAAATCCTCAACGGAGAACACGATTATAAGGATTGGAGTGTTCGCGTCAAAACCTATCTGCTCTCTAAAGATCTTTGGGACGTTGTTGAAACAACCAGTAAACCCAAGTTTAAGGCTTGGAGGAAGAATAATGCCGAAGCTTTGCATGCAATCCAACTTTCTTGTGGGCCCGGTACTTTTACTTATATCCGTGATAAAACCACCGCCAAAGCTGCTTGGGATACTTTGAAAGCACAGTTCAACCGAGAAAAAAGCAACTTGTGAGTTGTTATTTCTTATACTTGCTTCACTTTTTCTTCCTTGAATTCATATATAAACACATGATCATGATCTACATATAATAAAATTTCCCTTGGATAAATTGACAGATTGAGCATGACAGAGTACAACCGAGAAGAAATCTCAGGTATCTATCATCAAAATCAAAGAATTAATGTATATGAAAGGTTCTCTTGCTTTCTTTGTGTGTAAGGAATGCATAATCGCTCATTATTGATCAATTATCAAGGGTGGAACCATGATGAATAAATGGACGTGCTTGCAAGGCTTTATCTCAAACCTTGATATCAAAATCAAGGGGTAGTGACTATCAACTCTTGATGATTAGTTGACCAAGAGAATGAGACTTAACCTGTTTATCAATATATTGTGCATTATTTTCTTTTATCTTTCTATTTAAAATTAAAAGTAATTTTTTCTTCCCTATAATCCCTGTTTCACATTAAGGTTTTAATCTCAAAACTATATCAAATCCAAAGATTAGAGATTGTTGGGTGTGTTGCGTATCGAGTTAAAAGTTGGGTGTGAAGAGATTGTTGAGTATACATAGATATTAGATTAAAGTCATAACATACTATTTACTTAAGAAGCAAGTTATTTTAAGTTACTTCACGAGAATTGAAGAAGAAAGTAGTTAATATAATGTATAAAATGTCAACATTAATTACATACGTACCCTTACAGATGGGATCCTGCTGGCAGTATCGAGATTTCTTCACTGCTGTAAGGATAGGTGTATGGTCTGAGATGGATGAGCTTCTTTCCCTACCCAATGCATTAACAATACGGATTCACTGGGGACAGCTCTTCACAACGCAGTAATATTCGGGCACGAGCAAATAGTGGAAGAAGCTGGTGCAGTTGATGACGGAGGAACAGTTGGAGATTAAAGATGTTCATGGTTGGACGGCTCTTGCTTATGCTGCTAGAGACAACCTCAAGATGGTAAAATGCATGGTTACGAAGAGCAAGAAACTACTTGGTATTGCCGAAGAGGGCCGCCAAATGATTCCGATTCTCATCGCTGCTATGTATGACCGATGGGATATAGTTCGGTACCTCTACTCTCTCACTAGCGAAGATCTAAAGGCTGATAAATGCCCTGACGGCTCTCAACTTCTTGTCTTTTGTCTTTTTGCCAAACAATTTGGTAACCTAACTACTCTTAACCGAATCAAATTTTCTGCACTGTGTGTGTATATATTATACAGGTCTTTTATGTAAATGGATCTCCATTTTAAAAAAAATGGAGATTAGGTGTAGAAACTCACTCCACATTGAACTTCAATGATCCAAACAGTTTATTTTGTAAGTCTCGATTCATAGATCATCCTTACAAAAATTCAATTCAATTTGAAACCATTTGCCTATTTAATTATCAAGATAAAATTTCATTGTTTCTTATATAACAAAATATTCGTTAATTTTTTTGAACTCGATTAGATGTCTTAAATATTTCCGATTTGGCTAATATTTTGCAAGGAGATCTATGAAGTGCAACTTGAAAAATAGACGGTTCGGGTCGTTAAAGTTCGATGTGGTGTGGATCCTACAACTAATTCCGATTTTTATAAAAAAAATAGGGATCTTCCCTTAAAGGCTTCCTATATATATAGGGTAGTGTTATCAACACATCCATTTTTATTTCTACACCTCCCTCAATTTTCTACGGTTAAATCGAATGAACTGAAGAAGATCAATGACAAAAAATTAACAAAGGTGCATTTGAGATAAAAAAATAGGTGTGTGAATAGCACTTTCCTATATATATGTGGGTAATTCTCATTTTACTACCCTAAAGTATCATGGTTTTCAAACTTCCATACATCAAGATTTTTTCATCTCGATGTCATACCTAAAGTGAGGATTGTCGTACACTTTAATACTTTTATTAGGTTTTTCGTCAGAACCTAAGTTAACGTGTGACTTGGTGCTCATGTGGATAATGAATGGGCGTCACATGTCAATATGACCCCACGTGGGCGCCATGTCACGAGTTAATGGAGGTTCTAATGAAAAACCTAACAAAAGTATGAAAGTGTCCTACAAATCTCACTTTAGGTATTGACACTGGGAGGAAAAAAAACTTGATGTATGAAATTTTAAAAACCACAATACTTCATGATAGTAAAATGAGAAACCCTATATGTATTTATATAGCATATATATAATAATTGGTCTAAATACATACATACAGATATTGGATGGCATTTACTTCGGGATAGCTCAGACATGGCATGTACTCGACGCCGCAGAATATACTCCTCTTTATCTGCAATTTCTAGTATGCCCTCTGCATTTCCTAGTGGGATGTCGCTCAAATTCTGGCAACGGTGGATCTATAACTGTTAGTAATATCATCCCTTTTCTCTTGCTAACATCAAATTTGTCAACACTATGAGTGGCATGTACAAATGTCACCTTCCACGAATTTCATAAAGTGGTTCAAATAAGATGGTCTCCTTAATATTTTTCTTAAATCATATTACAACCATAATTGGTCTTATGTCAAAGACACTATCTACAAGGAGTATTTTGAATAAGGAAGTCGTATTTCTTGGTAGGTATATATACATAGAGCATGCTTGTTCCATCAAATAAGATGGCCTCCTTAATATTTTCTTATACAAATAGGTACTACCATAATTGGTCTTATGTCATAGACACTATCTGCAAGAAGTATTTTGAACGAGGAAGATGTATTTCTTGATAGGTATACACGTAGAGCATGATCCCATCAATGAATTTCGTATAGATGTTCAAGATCAAGAAAATGAACAAGGCAATCAAAGGAATAGAACAGGTATGTTGCATCTCAAAACTCTAACTATGGTTTGATATGTTGAAGTCCTTTCCATATGTTTTGCGCTTTTTCTTTTCTTTTTTTTTTTTGGTTGACTTTTTTCAATTATCCATCTCCTTGTTTTTAGTAACTAGTTAGGTGATATATAGTTATCACTAGAAATCAATGCCCGCGCGTTGCTGCGGGATTAAAAATTGTATGTAAGATTGTATTCCAAACATATGAAAGATTGTAAGATAGAAGATTAATACTATTTACATTCAAATTGTTAGAAAAAATTTATATACAAAATATTTAACAAATACAATCCACATACAACAAATCGTAGATTTTTTTAATATATTTCATGCATTATGTTTGATATATAGACAATACCTAACCTAAGTTCCAGATATAAAATGTGTATATCGAATCTAAATGGATCTTAATCTGTTAATCCTTATAATAATTGGGGTTACTAATATAGTAATATAGTGTCAAGAAATGATCGGACAGAAGAACATGGGTAAACCTGTGACAAAAGACATACTTACAATAATTCAGCCATCAATCTTAAGGTCTTTCGGATCGGAGAGCTGAATCTTAATGCAAGCTTTCTGCAATTTTCCAGAAATACAAATAAAAAGTTAAAATCCAAGTCTAAAAATTAACTGATATCCCAACTTTCTAATAAATTGTGATGACAAAATAAACAAAATAGAATGAAAACATGACTTACACATTTAAGGCATGCTTGAATCTTGATCTAAAGTTGGTGATGAGTCGATTGGTTGTCACCAACTCTAAATGAGAATTCATCAGAACCTAGAAATTTAAATAAAGAATTTTACAAAATCAATATTTACTAAAACCCAATTATTTTGTTTATGATGTATTATGGCTTGCCAAAGACTGAAAAATAAAATAAAAATAAAAATAAAAAGCACAACAAAGAGTCAAAACTCAAAGTCAAAAATCCATCTTCAAAGTACTATTAAATGCCAGCATTTACCCAATTTTAAGAAATTGAATTGTTAAAATTTAAATACCATGATCAATTCACCTTCCTTAATATTTTCTAAAGTTTCCTCGCACCCCTCTTTAACCGCTGCACCAAAAAAAAAAAAAAAAAAAAAAAAAAACCATATTACTCTTTAAATACTAAAATTGAAGATCTTAAATTCATAAATTATCCAAGACTTAATAAGGTCGTCAAAATAAGCATCCATCATAACAATAGCACTCAAATCGTGCTCCTTTGTTTCCCAACATTTTCTCATCAACCAAGCAGAGGAAAATTGTGTTCAACTAAATAGGTAGCAGTTGTGAGTTGGGTTTCACCTCTTTAAATTCATAATATTTTTAACATGCATGTCCATCATTAATACTTTAATTTGCTTTCGAAATGGGGCAAGATCATGTTAGTTTAAAACTACTGTTAACATGTTATCATTCAATATAGTATAACATGGATCAAACAATTAACGTTAAACCCCAAAAAAAAAAAAAAAAAAAAAGATGAGAAATTAATGGAAAAATTATTAGTCTGACATGATAAGTTGCAAAACCTACATCACCAAATCGTTTTCGCTCAATGCTAATAAAAGCCTAACATGACTAAGTTGTAGTGCCAAGAATTTTAAGTCTCTGACTCCCTTGAATGATGAAAATGCTTATAATCACAAAGTTCTCTGAATTTGCAGAAGATATATACCACATAATTAGACTAAAAAAACTGATTTTCAAATACATACCAAAGTTGAACTCTTTCTCCAACCAGTATCCGATGACTAAAAGGCTCAACATATTAGCCAATAAATAGAAAACACCCCATGTAACCAATTGCAAATGATGAGAAGCCACCCCTGGTGCCTGTCACCACCTTCTTTAAATCCAAAGCCCCCATCTTCTGCAACCTAAACCAACCAAAATCCAACACAACACCATGTTATACTTGTAATCTCTGTCAACTAACAAACTTCAGAGCAAAAAGAGTCTTCTCCAATTAGGACTAAAAACATCCACCAAATGATTTCAGATCAGTCCCCAAACTTGTAAAACATGTTTTTCTGCAAATAGGACAACGAAAAGTACGAAAAACTTAAAACCAACCAAGTGGTTTTCTTAAAGCAAGAAATTGGAGCTACCACAAACAGAATGTATCAAGTTAACAATATGCAATCAATGAACTATTTCATAACAAAAATAGCTAAAGGCTTAGACCCAAATGAGATTAAATGTTAGGAATTCAAAAAACAAATTGAAAAATCTAATTCCAAAATTCCAAACACCCACCAAATGGTTTCGGATAAAGTTCTAAAGTTGAATACATGTTACCCATACATAAGGTTACATAAGAATGAGAAGTATGAAAATTTTAAAACAAAGGGCCAATCGTGCTCTTTGGCAAATTACATTTTGAGTTTGGCTGTTTTTCAGTTTCACTCTACCCTTAGATTTGTTCTTCTTTATGAGTAGACCTTCCAACCCAACATCTATTCACATATATAATTGCCCCTAGCTACACCAACACGAATCCAAAATCACATATATTATCTAATGTAAACTAATTCATAGCTAATTAACATGTTCAAATCCTAATTTTCTCATATGATTATGTACCAATAGGAATAGGCGAATCTGAAGAAACCCAAAATTTCCAGTCAAAGGAAAATTAATACAACCTCTGGAAAAAATAATCAGGAGATAAAAACTCAAATACCAAAAAATAGAATCAGTAAAATAATCATATAAATTGTGATTTAGATGAAAATATAGGAGGAGGGTAAAGATTGGAAATGCACAGAGAGGGAGGCCTTGTATTTCTGCCAATCTGAAATCCAATCCTCCTTGTCCCATTGGCCCTTGACAAACTTCTTCGATTACCACCTACACAAAGAGACTTATCTCTTGAACCCTTTTCAGAAAATGAAAAATGGATTTGAGAGAGAGAGAGAGAGAGGAGAGAGAGAAATTAGGGTTTAAGAGCTAATTAAAGGAGATTGCATTGTGTTCATTTTTTCTTTTGTTTTTGTTTTAAAACTCACTCTTAATCAGGATTTCCTATTTATCGTGTTTATAGTCTTTATTGTATATTATGCCTACATTATATCCCCATTTCAGTAAGAAATTGAAATCGGAATCAATATGCTTTTTGAGTAAACATGGTGTTTTCATTACATCTTTTTCATTAAATCTTCCATAGATTAATACACCCATGATCAAAATGGTCTACACGAATAGCCAAAGATTGACACAATTCACGTCCTCTCTCTAGCTAAAGAAAAACCTCTATATTTTTCTTTTAAAAGCTCCAATCACATTATCAAAAACAATACGTAAAAAAAATAGAAAGAAAAAAATTCCAAAATGAATACAGGTGAACCACAAAAATAAAAACTGAAATTCAAATACTTAGAAACAATGAACTACATCCCCCATTCATGAACATAATCCACTTCTCTCTTTATCTCCCCCTCTGTCAGACTAAACCAAAACCCTCAATCTCTTTTCAATACTGCAATAACATAACTCAACATAACATGGAATGAAAATCATTTACAACTTAGAACAAAAGAGACTAACTTATGCAACACCACCTAAAACACATAAAAAAAGGAAACAACATTCTCCAAATACACAAAAAAAAAAATTAAGAACAAATGGATTTGCACAGATTCAACGTTCACAATATACAAAATTCAACCTCCACAATATACAAAAAGTAAAAATTTTGTTACACAAAATCCTCAAAGGAAGATACTAAATTATTTACCTTGTGCACAAAGGGCTTCGAAGTATATACACCAAAGCCCAAAAACAAACAGCAAGGTCTCCTGATCATACACCCAAGCTGGATCTGACAATATAAACAAACTCTCAAAATCACAGAATCAAAATTGAAACAGAAAAGCCATCTGTAAATTCAAAACAACATGCAAAATCACAAATACAAAATTCAAACAAAAAACCCATGTGGACATTGAAAACCACATAAACAAAATTCGAAACAGCCACACGGAGAAGTCACGAAACTCACCAGAACATGCTAGATTTCGTGGGTAAAAAACCGATCCTGATCGAATCGAAAAATTGATGAAATAGCCGATGAAATCTGTAGCCACCGAGAGTTTTTAAAATCACAAAAATTTGAACACATAAAAGAAAACTCAAAAACAATAAGCTGGAGAACTCACCAGGAAACCCAAGGTTTCTGCAGGATTGACGATTTCCTGAAAACCATGCTTTTCTAGGTTTAAACTTTCTTCCCGAAGGCAACGGACCTAACATTATTTGGAAAGAAAATTCGATCACGAATTGAAAAAAAAAAATTGAGAGAGAGAGAGAGAGAGAGACGAACCTGAGCTCGAGAGAGATCGAGAAATCCGTGGAAGCAAATGGAAGATCCCTGATTTTCCATCTTTCTTCCGTTCTTGGATGAGCAACACGTGTATAGCAGGAAGAAAATCCAACGAAAAGGCACACGGATGAGGACGCGTGGGCAACGCTGTGCACAGAGAAACAAAAAGCAGAAAAGCGAACGAAGAAGGCGGAGCAATGAGGGACGCATAGGCAAATGAGGGCAAAACAGTCACTGCACTGCATAAAAGGGCAAGCAGCAAGGGAAACCAAGAAAAAATCCAGGGGCAAAACCGTCCGCCCACTGGTCATCCATGCTCAACCCTTACGGGTTTTAGTATATATGATATATGATGACATTAAAAAAAAAATTAACTATTTTTCATTGAAAATGATTAGATTTTCATATGTAAATATTCAAATTAAATTTTTGAGTAAAAATGCATAAATAAAAAAATTTAATTAAAATTGAAAATTAAGAAAACTAAACTAAATCTAATAACAGCTTAAACTTTTGGACTAACGAGGTTTTGTAAACAGAATATTTGTTGAATTCTTATTGTTAAGACAAATATGCATCGATTGATTAAAAAAGGAAAATATAATTATAAGTGAAGAGAAATATCACTAGACCGTAATATATACTAGGTGGCTATCACATACTTTTTGTATTTATAAGTTGTCTCATAACGGAACAAAATAATGGAACAAAAAACAAGTGAAACATTCTATGCACATAAATATATTTAAAATAGGTAATTCGCGTTATGTTGAAAAAGCCTTTCATCCGTGCAGAGAGGCTAGCAGTTTCTCTTTTTTTTGGTCTCATTGGACGAGACATGCACTGCCCACCCTGAACAGGCGCTTTTTCTTTTTTCTTTTTTTTTTTTTTGGGTCAATAGTTAAATAGGTTTCTAAGGTGGGAATGGAGCTTGATTTTCAGTATTGCACTAGCCCTCCTCAACCAGCACTCAACTATGTACGACCCCTTTTTCAACTCACTAACAGTGAAATCTGACTGTTGTTTTGACCGCTGCATGAATAACATATAAATCATTACCCTATGCAAAGTGAACACAAAAAAAACATTACAAATTTTTAAAACGTGCATGATAAATAAAAAGTCTTTTGTTTGTACAATACATTGTAAATATTTCTTAACATTTATAATGAAAGCAACATATGCAATACGTCTTTTGGGGCACGTAGAGCCTGTGATTAAAAAAATGTCTTTAGCATGCACGAGTGCGTGCAAAAAGCTCATCTTATGCCATATATCATCTAATCAGCATATAAATAAGATTTGTATTTAATTTTTCTAATTTGCTTATGCCATTGCCAAATATCATCTAATCAGCACATAAACAATTTTGGAAGCAAAGTTTGATTTTAAATTTGTGTCGCAGTCTTCGGTTTATTACAAGGACTTCCATCGAGGCTTTCAAAGTTTTTGGGTACGTGGACATTAATTAATTTATTTTTTATGAAAAATTATGCATACAATTAACTTCTCATATCAAATTCAATCAGCTCCTATTTTTCATTTGTTGAAACTATCGATTTATATATTTATTAGTAAAAATGTGGTTGTGAGTTGTAACATTGTTTTGAATGTCAACCCAGGAATCAACCACATTCGTGAACTGAAAATGACCCACGTTGAATTAGAATTAATGTTGTACTCCATGTGTGACGTGATAGAACTTTTAAATCATCAAGAAATGAAGGATGGCCTTGTGTACGAAGCAGTATACAGTGCTGTCCAAAATGGGACTGTTGAGATCGTTAAAATTCTCTGTAAAGCCAGACCAGAATTATTGTTCAGAGGCTTAGAAGACGGAAAGAACATATTTCATTATGCTGTTGAATGCCGTCAAGAAAATGTTTATAACCTTATATACGGGGTTGATAAAAGAAATCTCATTACGACTTTGAGAGATAATTCCGACAACAGCATACTACATTATGCGGGGATGTTATCTCCATTAGCAAGCAAAAAGCTTGATGGTATTGCAGGTGCAGCCTTGCAAATGCAGAGAGAAAGGCAATGGTACAAGGTTAGAATTATTTTTTATTATTCTTGTACGCTTAATTACATTTATGACCCCTGAAATTCAATCCGCATACTTAACCTCACGAAATTCAAATTGTGTCACTTAATACCTTGAAATTTAACTTTTTCTCGCTTTGTTCCATGCCATTGCCGTATAAGAATAATATAAATTCTACCTCATTATATTCAGTATTCATGTATCAAATGAAGCATTTTTTTTTCCTTTATAATTACTGAAAGAATACGATCACCTCATATCACTACGATGTATAATTTTTTGTTCAATGAAATGCAGGAGGTAGAGAGTATTGTGGTTCCACTCTCGGGAGCCTCCAATTTAAACAAAGATGGTTTGACACCCCCTCAATTATTTACCGAGGAACACAAGGAGTTGCTCGAGGGTGGAGAAAGGTGGATGAGAAGTGCAGCAAAATCTTATACAGTTGTCAATGCCCTCATTATTACAATCATGTTTGCTGCAGCATTCACAGTTCCTGGTGGAAACAACCAAGTAACAGGGTTTCCCATATTCTTAAAAGGAAATGTATTTATGGTTTTTATAGGTTCAGATGCTATTTCGCTCTTTTCTTCCGCAACTTCAGCATTGATATTTTTGGGTATCCTTACATCGCGTTATACTGAAGATGATTTCCTCAAATCCTTACCCACAAAGATGATACTAGGCCTTTCCTCACTCTTGATCTCCATCGCCACCATGATGGTTGCCTTTTCTTCTGCCTTATTCATCATGTTTCAGGATAAATCCTGGTTTACTTATCCATTCATTTTCCTTGCTAATATACCTGTCACTTTATTTATTTGGATGCAATTTCCTTTGCTCGTTAAGATTTTCAAGTCTACTTATTGTGAACGAGTAGGAAAATCAAACACTGGACATAAATTCTTGATGGTTTATGCGATATATTAATTGTGTAATTGTAGTAATGTAATGTTTATCACTTCTAAGAAAGCTTGTATGCATTGGACACACTATTAAGTGTTTGGTTCCTATAATAAAATCTCCATTGTTCAATTTTTTTTATTTGTTCTCCAGAAGACATAATTTAATTGGAAAACTTGAAGAAATTTGAGGTTTCACCATAAAACTCATTAGTAATATGATCTTGTATCATATATTTATGAATGTGAAATTGAAGTTGGAAATGGAATGGAACTCTTGGATCGAATCACCATGGCAGTCAGGTATAACGATTTTCAATTCTCCGTTTTGAGGAATGGATGTGTTTAGAACTTAGGACTCACGCAATGTGAAATTATCTTTCAAAAGTATCTTTCAAAACTCGTTGATGTTGTACACGGCGTACAATCTATTCAGCGAGTTTGCTGTTCTTCTATCCGATTGCTACTTAGCCCAATCCAAAAAAGGGCAAGCTTGGAATTATATCTGTAACGACATTATGTTCGAATTAAGGATCTTGTTATCCACACTATTTTTTACTTTCTGCATATCCCTTTCAATTTTGACTATCAGATCGAGTGACTTGACAAAGAAAGGGACATAAATTAACAAGAAATGTGTGAAAAGTAATAATGAGTGTGAATAACACCACACGGAATTAATTATGTATTCTTGTATGAGCATGCATGCTTACAGGTAAGTTCCTACAAGATATAATTAGCATATCTTCAATCAACCAATAATTGCCTCTCTAATCGTTAGGTCCACACTTCGTTGGGCTTTATTTATATTCATGTTCCAAAATACGCTCCAACTGTCAAATATCCAACCAACCCACAATCCTAAGCTAATATTATTCTTTCGGTCTCGAGCATGCACAAGAGAAACTTCCATTGGTGAATTTTGTGATCGTCTTATGGACTCAATAAGTATGACCTAATTGGTTTATTAAATATGGCTTTTGATGTTGACAATCATAGATGTGTATATATATATAGACACCACGGCCATGTAGGTCCATCTCCACTCGCTCGGTCGTTTTTCTTGAGCAATTTTTTTTAGGGGAAACTAAAAAAAAAAAAAAAAAAAGTTTGAAAATTTTGAGTTTTAATAATAAGGACAAAATAAAGGGTAAGGTGAATAGTACCATGATTCACTTTTTAGCGTAAAAATGTGGTTTTTCGTTAAAGTGAATAGTATCGTGGACTTTTCGTTAAAACTCTATTTTTTTAGTGGATTTAAATTACGGTCTAGTTACGTTCTTAATTCACTAAAATTATAAGATTTGGATTTTTTTTTATTATTATTAATATACCCTAGAAGAGGGGCATCTCAATCATGTTATTCACCTTTATTATAATAACACATAAATAGTGCACAGCGTAGCTTGTGTTTTCATTACTCATAAAAAATTCTAGTTTGTCTTGATTCCCAAACACATTACGGAATGGCATCAAATTAAAAGATATTCTAGTTGGATTCTCGCTAAAGGTGAGTTTGAACCTTATTACTGTAAGCCTATTGTGGTACTTAACCCACTCTTCCAGATAATATTGTTTGTTAAAAAAAATTAAAAAAAAAAAGAGTGTGGAATGTCATTGGCTAATGTATTGTTACATTTTTTTTTTTTACCAGCAAATTATTGGTGATACACATTGCAAAGGCAACAAGATTAATCATGCAATGCATACAAATATGACATATGATTGAGAGAATAATTAAAAATTCATGTATCTTGATAAAGAAAGAATGTAAAGATGGTTTTGGCATAATCAGTTCATGATTACTAGTATTCATGCGGAAGTAGGATGAGGGTTCTGATACAACATATGTACACTCCAGCAGCGGTAACTAACATGATTCTCTAATATACTTGATATAAGTGTTATTATTTTGCTTGTCCTGCCATTTCCATTCTTAGCGGACCACGTTCCTTATGACTAAATTCAAATACGATATTTAGATTGAAAACATGGAACACGTAAGTGGCTAAAAATGCTGTCATGTACCCAAACTAAAAATACCTCATTGTTCCAAACTGCCGCAGCAACGTGACTCTTAAAACTCTTTAGCAATGATGTATGGGTCCTCCTGGAAAAGGCTCTGTCACTTCGGAATCGACCCCAACATCTATATCGTCTGTAGCTGAGACGTTGGCCCCAACATTCGTGTCTTCTGTAACCAATTTTCTAGGGTTCCTTCCATTTTCACAAGAATTTCAAAATTTTGGACTTATTATAACACAACCAGATATCAGATGAAAATTTTGAACATTTCAGAAACCTAAAAGCCCCAAATGGGCAGAAACAGAGAAGCCCGGAACCCCAAATTTGACAGATACCTGTTGACCGTAAAAACTACCAAGCCTACGTGGCGCGCAGACCGAGTAACTAATAAGCTAACTACGTCATTCGGTTGAATGCGGTGCGTGCCAACTCGTCGGCCGAGGAGTAAAATTTGTTGATGTTGCATTGAGCGCGTTGCTGACTTCTTTGTCTTGCGACTGCGGTCGAGGAAGGAACAAATCTCGGCCTTTGGATTCTCGAGCTTGAAGACAAGGCTGCTAGTTCTGCGAAGTTCACAAATCGTCGGTGCCGGATTCGGTCACAGTGATTATATTCGTAAGAATATAAGCACGTCGAATCGACACCAGACTGTACGAATACAAGTATTCAAAGGTGATGTATGTCTTGATGGTGAATGTGGTTCGGCCGTTAGAATGTCGAACTCTAAAACTCATTTGTGAGTATCTAGTCATAAAATCACTCGGAGTTCAATACGCCGAATGTCGTAACTCTAACACCTTACTTCGTCGAGAAAGCTAATAAGATGAACTCTGCCAATAAGGATTCGAAAAACCTTCTCAACCGAGACTTGGATAGGTAACTAGTCGGCCTCGACGCAGTGCTATTTATCCAAACTGAAGGTGCTCCTCAGTCGGCTGATTCTACGACAACAGTGATGTTTATCCAAACTGAAGGTGTTCGCCGGTTGCCTTCACAGTGTTGTTTATCCAAACTGAAGATGTGTCGGCGAGAAAAAGAAAATAAAAAATCTCAAGATGTTTGAGAGGTTTTGCGTAGGGTAATTGTGTGTTGAATTGGAGGTCCCCTAATTGTTGCATGATGTCTTGTATTTATAGCACCAAATCATCCTTGAGATCGAGTCAAAATCATATATGGATTGAGACTTCTTATTCTGCTTGAACTCTACTTCGATCAATCCTACCCCTATTAGGACTTTGAACTCACCCCCTTTTTGAGGCTATATTCATTGTTGGTCGAGACTCCAAATTGCACTAGGACTTCTTCGACCCTTTTGCTTAGCCGAACCACTCCTTCTTGCGATATGACTCAACCACTCTTGCTGAATGGCCCGAGATCACCAAGCAGCCCATAGTATATTTGAAACAGCTTTGGACCGAGCATAAACCTACACTTGGCCCAACAATATTATTTTGGGCCCAAACAATACCCTAAACCCCCAAGTTGACAGAAAGCAACAAGTGCAGAGCAGAAGATGACAAACAAAGCAAACGAAGTAAAAATTGAAGAATCCAATCGACTGGTATGAAAGAAAATTGAATAGAACAAATGGGTTTCGTACCTGATTCTTCTCTAGTAACGATGTTCTTTTTCAGATAATTTGTAGGCAAAAACGAAGTATGGGTTTTAACTCCCAACTAGGCTTACTTGATACTGATCCTTTGATCCTTCGGATAATTTGTAGGCAAAATATGGCTTCTAAATTTCTAGGTCCCAACTAGGCTTACTTGATACTGCTACTTTGATCCTTAGATTAATTTGTACGCAAAGTATAATTTCTAACTCCAGCTAGGCTTACTTGATATTGCTCCTTTGATCCTTAGATTAATGTCGTATGAAAAATATGATAAATGTAAAATTACAAAATTGATTCCGGCAACGACATGCTACATTGTGTGGGGATGTTATCTCCGTTGGGAAAGGGAAAGCTTGATCGTACTCCAGGTGCAGCCTTGCAAATGCAGAGAGAAAGGCAATGGCACAAGGTTAGAATATTATTTTACATTATTCTTGTAGGCTTAATTAGATCTATGACCCTTGAAATTCAATCCGAATGCTTAAGCTTATGAAATTCAAATTGTGTCACTTAATACTTTGAAATTTAACCTTTTTTTTCACTTTATCCCATGCCCGTGCCATCCAAGAACAAAATAAATTCTATCTCATTATATCCATGCATCAAATGAAGCATTTTGTTTTCCTTTCTAATTACTGAAAGGACACGATTACCTCGTTGAAAATCTATTTATGATTTTTATAATTTCAAATGTAATTTCGCTCTTTTCTTCCGTAACTTCAACATTTATGTTTTTGGATATCCTTATACCGCATTATGCTGAAAATAATTTCCTCAAATCTTTACCCACAATGATGACAATAAGCCTTTCCACATTCTTCATCTCCATTGTGACCATGATGGTTGCCCTTTCTTCTACCTTATTCATCATGCTTCAAGACAAACTATGGATTACTTATCCAATCATTTTCCTTGTTGGTGTACCCGTCATTTTATTTATTTGGATGCAATTTCCCCTTCTCGTTGATATTTTTGTGTCAACTTATAGAAATTTTTTTCCATATGATTGGATTTGGAACACACACCTTAGCATGACAGGTGTTGTTTCTTACCAATAATTTATGAACACCTGTATTCATATAGCATAACAATTTAATACATCTAAATTTTATTAAAAAAATCAAAATAAACAACACGTGCACGGTTCCCAAAATTTCTAGTCCCAGTCTCCCAAAACGCCCCATCTCCTCCTGACTCTTCTCCCCCCATTGTTACCGACGAAATCTTAAACGAAGGGTTCTGAGATAAAAACCCTTTCGCCTGCTTGCTGGGTTTGGTGCTCTCTCTCCTAAAAAAAGTAAAGAGAAAGAAAGCAACAGACTCAGAGATGGATATGGGCATGAGCTCAACCCTTTCTCTCTCCCTTGTTCTTTTTGTGTAACGACCAAAGCTTTTCTTCTCTTCTTCTCCGAAGAAGATGGCTCTGCAAGAAGAACCCCAAGAGCTCCAAAACCCTCCAATGGCCTCGATCCTTTATTATTCTGCGAAGAAGGATTTGAGGAAGATTTGGGA